ACATTTTTAAAATATGACTTATTTTAATACTATTGTTCAGATATAATTTTAAGAAAACATTTATGGATGTAAAATTATAATTAATGACAGTGGATTGGAAGAAAGCATGCTTACAACTTGATATTTTATTGCACATTGTTAGTGGATTGCCAGTCATGCCACTTGGACAAAAGCAAATTGGGCTATGGTTGACTACTCCACAACGAGCGCGCATGCCACATGCGTTTTTGCACGGATCAGTGCATTCAGAGTTAATACAAGCAAATGATATAGGACATTCTACGCTGAGTGTACAATAAGGGCGGCATCCAATGTATGGGTCTCCAAAATAATTATGATTACAAACGCAAGTTTTATTGTTAATATTGCTCTTACATATTGCATTATGGCCACAAGTAGAACCATTACAAGACAGGCGAGGTTTTCCGTTTGGTTTTACTATTAATAATAATAATAACAATAACAACCTTAATCGTATAGTAGTCCAACTGTTGTAGTTCGTTTGTTAAGTAATTTTAATATCATTAATTAATATTTTAATCCTTAAATAACTATAAGCTGTTGGTGGTATATCCAGTTAATAAAATAATGATAGTAACTTATAACAATAAATGTTATTTGATTTATAAATAAATATTTATTACGAGTATTATTTAGTTTTAGTAAAAATATAAAAATATAAGTTTGTTTTATTAAACCAAACATACCTGCGACAGCATTACATCCGTTAAATGGATCCCCTTGGTATCCAGGCTCACACGAACACACTGGTTGATGGTTGATTACGGTACATCTAGAATTGAATCCACAAGATCCAGTACAAGGATCTCGACATTTACTCTGCAGACAAGCTAATCTAGTTGGACAATCAGCATGAATTAAGCATTCTGGTCGACAGTTTGGTGGAGCTCCAAGCATGCCCGGTAAACATGAGCAAACAGGTCTATTATCATGTTCCCTACACTCAGAATTAGCACCACATGGTGATGGGAAACAAGGGTCTTGGTAAACAATCGGAGGAGTTTTAGGTTCTGTAGAATTGTAAATGATAATTAAAATTTATTCATAATATTTTAGTCATCTTAGCAAGATTTACCTTCTTGAATACACCTCACGAATGGATCACCCACGAATTTCGGCGGACAAGTACAAATGGGATTGTGATTAATCACATTGCAACGTGCATGTAGTCCACATGTTCCAGGACAAGGATCTGAACACTTTTGTGCTATACATGCCTTATCTACTGGACATTCAGCACTTACAACACATTCCGGTCGACAAGAAGGAGGGGTTCCGATAAAACCTTGTATACATGAACAAACTGCATTATAACCTTGAGTACGACATTGACTATTTGGACCACAAGGTGAAGGTTCACATGGATTTTGGGSAGGTAGTGCTTCAAAAAATCATAAAATTACTTTATATTCAAATTAACACAAAAATAATAAGTTAAAATTTATCTAACTTACCATTAACTGGTTCTATTCTACAAGATTGGAATGGATCTCCAACATATCCGGGGAAACAAGTACAAACTGGTATATGACTAACAACATTACATTGAGCATTGAGACCACATACACCTGGACATGGATCTCGACAATGGCTAGCCAAACAAGCCAAGTTTGACATACAATCGCTGTTCATCAAACATTCTGGTCTACACCCACCAGAGTAAGGGTTACCGATATAAGGTGGTATGCAAACACATTTTGGAACTCCATTGTTTTCACTAAAACATTGAGTATTTTCACCACATGGCGAAGGATTACACGGATCTCTTGGAATTTCAGGTAATGCAGCTAAAATATTATTAAATAAGATGATTAGTTTGTATTTAAGCTAAACAAAAATTAACTAGATATAAATATAATGCATACATTTTTAAATATTACAAATTATATTTTATGAACTTCCTATTCATTCAAAAATTAAATTAAATTATTCTAAAATTGTTTTTTTTTCATATTTTGTTTAAAATATTAAAACATAACATTCATTTTGGCGTGTGTAATATGTAAGTATCTCACCTTTGAATCCTAAATAAAACTAATATGATTAAATGATAAGTATAATATTAAAGATAACACTTACTTGGTGGAATTCTAGTACAGCTTATAAATGCATCTCCTTCATAACCTGATATACAGGTACAGAATGGCGTATGATTAACAACATCACATTTAGCATTCAAGCCACATGATTTTGTGCATGGATTTTGACATTTTTCTTGAATACATGCTTTGTTATGTGGACATTCATGATTCATTATACATTCTGGCCGGCAATATGGCGGACTTCCGATATAATTTGGGGAACATGAACAAACTGGATGACCCTTTTTAATCTCACAAATTGAATTTGGGCCACATGGTGTAGGTTCACAAGGATTTCCAGGTACTTTAGGAGTTTCTTCACCTATGGGTAACATTCATAATAATATAAATATAACTATAATAAATAATAATAATAATACAATATCAATACATTTAAATGTAATACAAACCAAGTGGTAAATAACAGCTAACAAATGGATCACCGACGTGTCCTGGTGGACAACTACATATCGGATTATGGCAAATAGAATAACAATTAGCTCCAACACCACATGTACCAGGACATGGGTCAACACATTTTTGATTTAAGCAAGCTTGAGTTTGAGGACATTCCGCGCTTACTACACACTCTGGTTTACATACTGGTGGTGAGCCACGGTATCCTGGTAAACACGAACATGTTGCAAATCCTTGTTCCGAAATATGACATCGACTGTTAGAACCGCACGGTGAAGGGTCACAAGCATTATCTGCTGGGCCCATTATTGGCGGATAATCTAAAAAAACAAGATATTACGTATATATTATATTAAAATATGTTGAGTTTTTAGTCATCAATATTAAATTATCGACTAGGTATTATTTACTTGGTCTAGCAGCTTGATAACAGCTAACGAAAGGATCTCCTGAATAATCTTGTTGGCAAAAACATACAGGGAAATGGTTAACTACTTGGCATTGAGCATTAACACCACATACGCCCAAGCAAGGATTAACACATTTGTTATTAATACAAGATAATGTTTGACCACAATCAGTATTTATAACACATTCGGGCCTGCATGATAAATACGGGTTTCCATAATACTGTTGACGGCAAACACAAATAGTCATTCCATTTGATTTTTTGCATACAGCATTTGCTCCACATTGCACTTGGTCACATGAAATAGGCTTAGCCACATCATCTATAAACATAAATCAGTAAATCATAGCTTACAGAAACTCTAGATTTTAACTTATCACAGATTTTCCATACTTTGTTTTGGAGTAGTACAATGTTCGTATGGATTTCCTATTAGTCCCGATTGACAGGAACATATTGGATTATGATACACGACAGTACATTCAGCTTGAATACCACATGATCCTGGACAAGGATCAATACATTTTTGACCCACACAAGCTAAATTGAATGGACAATCAGAATTGTATAAACATTGTGGATGACATTGTGGATTCCATTGTTGTTCAGCTGAAGAGCAGGGATCACACATTGCTATCTGGCCACCATACACATTGCATGAAGCATACGGATCGCATGGTGAAGGTGCACAAGGTAGAGTCATATTTTTAAATGGCTCATCATCAGCTAAAAATTCCAAACAATTGGAAAGTTTTACACCATTTATAACATTATAAAAATRTTTAATATATTTAATTTATTTAATTCTTACGTTTTGGTAAACATTGTAAGAATGGATCACCAACAAAACCTTCTCTACAAGAACATAGTGGTGTATGATCTTTGCATTGGCATACGGCTCCAAGACCACAGATGTTACCAAATGCACATGGATCTCGACATCGGTAATCAATGCAAGCTTGATGATTCTTACAATCAGTATTTAAAACGCACTCTGGCTGACATCCATTCTTAGGATCTCCAACAAAATTTGTTAGGCATGTACATACGGGTTTACGATTTTGAATTTTACATTCTGTATTAATTCCGCATGGGTTAGGCAAACATGGATTTCCAGTTGGAGCTGGATCTGAACCTTTTATAAATAAATAATCAAAGATAATATTTTATTATTTTATTAATACACCTATAAATCAACTATAGTTATTAGTTATAATAACTTACTTATTTGATAACAACGGAAAAATGGATTTCCAGTTAATCCACGATCACACGTACATACAGGACGATGTTTTTCAACTTTGCACGAAGCTCCTACTCCACACGCTCCTGGACATGGATTATTACATTTATAACCTAAGCATGATTTATCCCAAGGGCAATCATCATTTGTTGTACATTCCGGGCCTCTACATCCTGTTAATGGATCTCCACCCATACCATCAGGACAGAAACATAACGGTTTTCCTATTTAATAGTTAAAAATTTTAACAAATTAATATTAAATTGTTGATGTAAATTTAAAAATATTTGTACAGTACCTTCAGATGAAATTTTGCAATATGCATATTTTCCACATGGATTTGGTTCACAAGGGCTCGTTGGAATTAAACTACAACCATCGTAAGGGTTTCCTGAATAGCCATTTTTACAATAACACTGTTCATTGCTTCCAGTTACATAACAATCAGCATTTGCTCCACAAGGTCCCGGTTGGCATAAGGTTTTTAGTGATTCTAAAAATCATTTTGTAATAAATTCCAAATTAAATTTTTAATTAGAATATATTTAATAGTACTTTAATACATACCACCACAAAACTTATATGGATTTCCAATTAATGGCTCAGGGCAGAAGCATGATGGTTGCCTGTTTGGATCGCATACTGCACTTTGTCCGCAAGGATTTGGCTCACATGGATTCTTTTTTTCTACGCATCCACGTATTGTGTTTGGACTCTCAATATATCCTGGTAAACATGTACATTTAGCAAATCCGTTATCCAGCAATGTACACTGAGTGTTAGGTCCACACGGAGAGGGTGTACATGGATTGGTTGGTAAACGGCAAGGTGTAATAGGAGGATCCCCTTCATATTCAGATAAACAGAAACAAACTGCAGAACCTTGTACTACTCTGCATCCAGAGTAAGGACCACATGGATTTGGTGAGCATTCATCACCTTCAGGAACTAAAATTAAAGAAATTTTATAAAGTATCTGATTATAAATATGTACAAGTGCTAAAAATATAGCATGACTTATTTTGCTTGATTTGAAATACACTAAAATTAATTAATATGATATGCTAAGTGATAAATTTTGAATTTAAACTTACTGCAACTTTTAAATGGATTTCCTGTCATTCCTTTTGGACAGTAGCAAATTGGATTTCCATTGTCAATTTCGCAAAGAGCGTGCATTCCACAAGGATTTGGATCACATGGATTTTGAGGTACTAAAATTATATTAAATATATATCATCATTTATTTTGATTATTGTGAATAAACTTTAAAACATCAAACTACTATTTGTAATGACAGAAAAATTATATTCAGTAATTACCTTGACATCCTAATAATGGATTTCCATTGTAGCCGGCAAGACACTTGCATGTTGCTTTATGATTTATAACGTCGCACACAGCATTTGGACCACATCGACATGGGTTAGAGCATTTTCCATTGATGCAAGCTTCATTAGTTGAGCATTCTTCATTCGACCGACATCCGGTGACTAATAATAAAACAATATTATTATAGATACTTATATAATTATGAATGTAGCATTGTAGTTATATAACTTAATTAAAAATATATATCATTAATATACCTGATGCACAAGTGATGTATGGATTTCCTTGATGGCCTTCTAAACATCTGCATTCTGTACCGTGGTTAACAGGATAACACTCTGCATTTTCACCACAAGAGTCTTCCGCACAAGGATTTATACAGACACGATTTAATCGATCACATAATTTATCTGGAGGACAATCTTCGTTGTATTGGCAAATGGGCTTGTAAGATCGAACTAAAAAATATTAAAGTGGTGTGATTAAACTGTTAAAATTGAAAATAACGAATATTATATCAATAATAATACATTTTTATGAGAACTATTCTAACTTATAAGTATTTTCTATTAGCTTATTTTAAGAATATTTTTCTGTTAATAAATACAATATATACTACATAACTAAAATGTGTATAGACACAAGGTATATCTCGTATTTTTTGAACCACGTATTTTAAATTGGTTAATAATCATTATCGATATTATGGCAAGATAAAAAATATTCCTCGATTTTTAAGGAGTTTATTTAACCTTACGTTACAATTACAAAATAAAAAAAATGTTACAATTCAAAATAAATTATTGTTTTAATTATCATGAAAACATAATACGACTATAATGAAAATATTTTTGATCCCCTTAGCTTCAAAACAGTTTACACACATGATACTATGAATAAGATTGTTTTTAATGGAATTTAAAAACACCAATATCAATAACAATTTAATTCGAATGTACTTAATAAGCATGTTTCATTCCTTAAATTAAAAATATACCAACAAGTAAATTAATTGTGTAAGCAAACCTATTGAGCTATTATAGTAACCCAGTATTGTTATGAATGTGTGATATAATTACTTAGTAATCGTGTCGTTTTTTAAATTATTATGTTTTAATTTGTAATAAATATAATAATTGTAAAAATATTGATAACAAAATATTATTAACATTTTCATTAACAATTATTGGAAGAATTACCATACATAATAATTTTGTTTAACTTGGGCATATTATAAAGTCATAATTTAAATTTTTGTTCCTAACCTACAGATATAGATGATATCTACCCAAAATAATACGTATTTTTAAATATAAAATTTATATTAATTTAAATAAACATCGATATCATAATATACCATCAAATTTTAGAATTCCTCGGTGACAACGAATGTTATTGAACGAAAACATAAATTAGCCATTTGTAAGGGTAGTAAATCAATGACTAATAAATAATTTAAATTTAATATGGATCACAACTAACCTGGTAAACATCCTACAAATCCGTTGCCTTGAAATCCTTCTACGCAGCTACAATCGACTCCATGAGCAGTGTTAATGCATGCTGCGTTTTGAGCGCATGGGTTATGAACGGTGCACTGGTTTTGGCAAATTTGCTGGATGCAAACTTCACCGTTCGTACAATCATTGTTCGTATTACAAGTTACTAAATTTGGAGTGGGGTAAAAATAAAATAAAATATAGATAAGAAGAAGAATTTTTAACCATTAAAAAATAAATTAAATAGGTAAAAAAATTAGACGGTACCCAAGAAGAGTGGTACCGTAGTGGGTATATTATAAAGATGTATGTATATGTATTTACATTTTACATGATTATGATAACCCCGCGTTTATATTATACAACTCTATGCGTAAACTATAAAATATTATATTATATGATATCAACATTATCAACTATTTTACATGAAACATAGAAGGTCCTATTTGTACAAATATACATCTATTGTCGTTATCTTACAGTGATTGTGTCTTTCATGTGTGTGTTTTCTTTTAGAATATTAATSATTAATTTATTATATTACGATAATAATAATTATTATTATATTGGTAAATCATGTTAATCATTAATATTAAATCAAAATATATTTATATCAAAATATGAAATTAGTGATGTGATTAGTCTTACACAGTTTCGGTTGATAACACTTAGTCGCCGGGTTCCCTTCGTATCCTGGGGGACACGAACAAACGGGTCTGTGCTTTATAACGTGACATTTGGCATTTGGTGCACAAATCGTTGAAAAACTACACAAATTCTCACACTGACCCATGTAACAAGCTTCCGACTCCAGACATTCCGTGTCGGATTCGCATACTTGTGGCTTTTTCGCGGTACCTGGTGCTGTATGGTATTATATATATATATGTACATGATTAGTGTTATTTACATATCATTATTACATGCATTAATATTAAAAATAACTGATCGTTATGTAGTTAAACATTTAATGAATTAGATTTTATCAGTATTTAACTCGGAAATTCCAGTTTAGATTAATTGTTTTTTTTTTGGTTGTGTTAATTTTATTTTTACATATTACATGGTTAAGTTTTTAATGTATTAAATGTATTATATTTCATAAGTAATCACTAGAAATGTGCATGATTATAATTTATAATATATATGCAATATAATATATTTTAATGAGCATCGAGAACTTAATAAAAACTGGAAAATCTAATTTAAATATTGACGAACGTTTAATCTGTGATTCAATGGCATCTTAGTATACAGTGGCTATTTTATTAAGTCATGCTTCGATTACTATCATTTTTGTGAAAGTAGCCTAATCCTAGAGTCCTCAGACATTAGAAACGTAAATACGTTTCACTTATTAAATTAATGACTTTTTTTGAACATACAGAACCTATGTAAACGCTAAAGCACTGACTGATTTGATTAATTTGTCGAACTGACTAATATTTACATGTGACACGTGCATATAAAAGAAAAATTTTAACGTTTCTGTTCGATTCTTCTCTATTTTTAACAACATGACAAACAAATAAAAATAATAACGATACACAATGCGGACTCCGTACCTATATAATATACTTTAATTAAAATAAGAAACATGCTAAAACACAAATTAATATAAAAGCGGAATTTTTTTTAGTATTAAGTGTAAATTATACCTTTAAGACACAGTAACGTGATGATTCCTGGCGGACAGTTATTTACGCGGCTTTCACCTGTTGGTAGACACTTGGCTGCCAAACACTTGTGGCCTGCGTCACAATCGGTATCGTTCCAACACCATTTTCTGGTTGCTGTGGTTATTATTTGTTGTACAGAGTAGCTGTTGTTTATATTCGTTTGGTTGTGGTTTGCGGGTATTATAGTGACATCTTCGATTTCAATGCTCTTAGACGTTATAGTATATTCGGTTGTAGTCAACATATTATTATCATTATTATTCAAGTCCGTTGTATTTTGGTCAGTATTGCGGGATGTCGATTCGTAATTAAAATCATTATTGTAATAAGGGGAATCTGTTTGGAAATTAAACGTAGTCTCTTCGGCTGGTAAAACGGTAAATCTCTCCGTTGAGCTGTCAGTGGTGTCGTTAAATTCAGGGGTTATGTCCGTAGTCTCTCGAATCGTAGTTAAATCAATTGCATTTGGATTTAAAGACGTATTGCGAAAACCACTTTTGTTTGAGCCCGTAAAAGTCGTGGTCTCATAATTTTCTGTAAATGTATTTGTAATTGCATCATTAGGAATATTTTCAGCAGTCGTTTTCGAATCGTTTTTAGTATTTAAACTTGATACAAGCACTTCTATAGAAGTCGTAAACAAATTTATCATAGTAGTAGCGTCGTTTATTGATATGATCGAGGACGTTTCCACTTGGTCTCCGTCGTCTGTTTTTGCCAACGGCTCCAACGAAATATCAGTCGTAAAAGAATCACCATTTTTGGGTGCATTAGATTCTGTCGGAGATTTCAATAAATTGTTTACTACGCTTTTCTCGGTATCAATTTCATTAGATGATGCTTTCGAAGTGGCACTATTAGTTTTAATCCAATCAGCCATGGTGATAATTGTGACCGTGGTGGTTTCTCGATTTGCATATTTGAAATCCGTTTCTTTAGATGTAAATATCGCACTGTCAGTCGTCATTGGTGTATTTGTAGTGGTATTTACTGAATCGAACGTCATTATTTGTTGTGTTGTTTGGTCGCCACCTACTAAAATGTTATCGGTCCGGTCTCTTTGACTTTGTGTTGAAACAATAGATTCATTTTTTCTTTCAAAATCTGATCCAGTGGTTACCTCATCATCCATTGTATACATTTCGTTCACAGAGATTGTATCATCTCTATCTACGGCGCTAGTCAATGTTATAACGCTTTCATTTTTCCCACGTGTACGATCGGTCGTTGTTGAATCATATACCTTACTATTACCCTCATCGTTGTTTACAGAATCGTTTGTTAGTCGGTGGTTTTCGGAAACAATTTCTTTTGAAGCAATTGTTTCAGTAGGTTCTGTGTTTAATACAGTATCTTCCACACCATTAATTACTGTCGTAAGTCCACGGGTTCCCATTACGGTCGTAGATTCAGTTACAGACGGTACACTTGTACTTCCTGTACCACCGAACAACATTTCCCATTTTTTTATAACGCCTTGAGATACATTACTATCGTTTATGTTTATCAAACCAGGAATTATTGACGATTCGACGATCTGAGTAGATAATTCGGGCACACTAGTCATCACTTCGTCACCTTTATCAGTCAAATTAGATGGACTCGCGACTGATTCGTTCGTCGCTTGTTGATTGAGTGTTGTCACGGTCGTTGCCGCTTCGACATCATCTGTTAGTATAGGTCGTTGAGTGTTTTCTTCGGTTGAGTTATTGGAAATAACGCTGTTCACGGTTGTGTACTCGCCAATTTGATTATTTGAAGTTATGATTTCTGCATTTGAACTAATTGTCATCGGGCGTAGAGTTGTTTCTATTGTACTAATAAGTGTAAAATCGTTTTCTATTTTATTTTTATTGGTCGAATTTACCGTTGTAATTTCTATGTCTTCGTATAGTAAATTTATAGATGTCGTACCAACACCATTTAGTTTCTTGAAAATAGTAGAAGTTCTATCGTCTTGTATTATATCGGTATCGATTCGTATGTTTTCAATTGTGGTCATTGAAGGCGTAGTGGAATTATTAGTTGTATTGAGAAATATGTTTTCTTCATCAATTATGTCAGTTGTATTTATAGCGAAAATATCGACAATATTTTCTGAACTTTTCGTGGTGAGTTCTTGATTGTTTTCATTATATTGATCAGTAACCTCATTTAAATAATTAAAAGTAGTTTCTAAAATGTAAGACTTTGTAGTTTGTTCTTCATTCACGTTCAAATAAGTTGTGTCATTAAATTTGGAACTTATGAATTTGTTTAATGTAACTAGTGTTGTACTTTCTTGGTTGTCTATTGTACTTATAGACACAGGTAGTACATTCGACGTAGTAGTTTTTAAAATTGAAGAAATATTTTTAACTTGCAGATTCTTATCTAATTCAGTAGGAACTGTAGTGGTGCTAAATTGTACAACACGAGGTCTTTCCGTCGAGCTGTTTTCTACGTTGTTTTTATCATATTCGTTATTTATTTCTGAATATGACTTTGTTGTACCTTGTACATTATTTTTTATTTCATTTTCTTCATCAAAATAAATTGTTCTAGAATTCATAGATTCGTTTGAATTTTCCGTTGTCAATTCAAAATGTTCGCTTATACTTTCAACAGTACTGGGTATACAATTTGAATTTGATGTAGTTTCCAAAACATTTTGTTTAGTATCTACATTTAAAGTGTCTTCGAAAGTTTGGGAAATTATAGGGTTCGTTGAACTTTCTGTTGGTTCATTTTTATTAAATAATAATATACTTTTGTCAGTACTTGTGAATATAATATCATTATCGAACATTGTTGATGTAACTTGCTCATTATTATCACCATCATTATTTAACACTATAAGATTTTTCTTATTATTTTTTGTCGTTATTTCTATCATATTATTTGAATCATAACCTCGAATCACATTTTGGGTAGTCATATCTATATCGTTTATCAAATCATCGGTAGTTTTAGTCTTAAAATCATTAGATGCTATAGTCGAGGAAAATGTATTAGACTCACCAATTGTGGTTGTTTCTGATAAATCTTTCAAAAACTCAGATGGTTGAATGTTTATTTTATTTTGTGATTTAGTGACACTTTCTGTGATTAAATTCAGGTCAATAGTAACATCTGATGTGTCAGTGGTCAACGATAAATTGTCGTCAAAATTCTCATTGAAATATTTTGTTTCGTTTTCTAAAGGATTTAAGGTTGTCGCCTTAAACGAATTTTGCTGCATTTGATTTGAAATCATAGTAGTTTTGATTGTTGATGTCTGAGAATTGGTTATAGTAGTCATTAAAGTGGATTCAGTACCATCGTTAAAAGTAATCAATTCTGCATTGTTATCATATAATGTTGTTTTTTCAACTATTTGTGGTGCAAAATATTGGGTTGAATTATCAATATATTGATCACTGTTGTTTATTAAATTAGAAACAGTACTTATTTTAAAGTTGAGTTCTGATGTAACGTGCTGAAATATATTTGTATTAGTTTCATTTTCTTCATTTATATCAGTTCTAGTTATAGGTGTCGTTTTTTCTTCTGAATCGATCCAAATAGGGCTACTTGTCGAACTAACTTTATTTTCGTTTTCTTCTCGATCATCCGATAAACTGAATTCGTTTTTGGTTGTGTACTCATCAAATGATTTTATCGAAGGTTCGGTAATTGTTAGACTATCAGTTGTTATCGGTTCAATCGTAGTTATATCGGACACATAATTTTCATCGAAATTTAAGTCATCCCCTTTAAACATTTTCGTTGGAACTGAAGAATTAATTATTATTTGATTAATCTCGGTTGCCGAAAATCGGTCAGTTTTATCGGTCGTATCGAATTCAGGGATGGTAGTAATTTCGGTCAATACATTTAAGTTTTCAGTGCTTAGGCTAGATATTAGTACATCGTTAGTTGTGACGGTTGTAACAGTGTATTGCGGTAATGAGTCTACTGTGTTTTGTACAAAAGCAGGAACAACACACATTAAAAACAAATAGTTAGTAACTGTTAAAAGATTAAAATTAGACTTCAAAGTGAAAGCTTTTTATACATAAAAAAAAAAAACGCAATAATACTGTTGCATTTCATTTGTTTGTCAAAATTACGAGACTGTATTCGAAACAAACGAAAGTTAACAATATATTTTGTTCCAGAACTACATAAGCGTCTGTTCTCTCTGTTATGACATAAAGGCGCTTTTGTAGTATTTAAAAAAAATCATTATTAATTTCATTCAGACTTGTGGAGGTTTCTCCGTTGTTAATAAAGCTCTGATCACCGTTGCATGCACACGATATACCTAGTTAAACAAGCGAATAATGTGTATGTGTGTGTGTGTGTGTGTGTGTGTGTGTGTGTGTGTGTGAGGGCGTTTTATTGTGTATAATATCACATTAGGTATCAGTGATATAAATAATGATGAAATATATTAATGTTTAAATCTAAAATAAAATTGACAGCATTTATCTACTATAATATAATACGTACCTATATATATTATATATGATATCTATGATAAGAAAAAATTATATTCTACACAAGTTAGGAACACATTCTTAATGATCATTAATGTAAAGGAGTCAAATGCACACATTTAGTAGGTACACGTACTTTCGTGCATAGGGTGAAATCGATTAAACAACTAAATACTCTTAATAACTATGATACTACAATAGTATAAGTGCACAACAATACGAAAATAAATAAAATCCTCTCGTCATAGTGGAGATTTATTGATTCGATATGATATTTTAAACTGAAATGTTTATTATATAATAACAATATACTACATTACTATAGTGTATGTTTGATATGTGTAAAGCATTTAATAGAAAACAAGATTATTGATAACTCATGCAACCCATTGTACAATAATATCAACTCGAGAGCCGATTAGGTACCTACGTATAATATCTAAAGTTGTTCATAACTAAACAATTTTACTTACTGTATTATAATCTTTATAAATTTAAATACACATGCGATATAGTCCTCTGTATATTTTTGTATTTTATATGTATGTAACTATAATATAATATAATGTTCCCCATGCTGCAGTCTGTGCTTTTGCGTCACATTCCCCCCCCAAAATTCCCACAAGTCTATCCAATATTGAAATTTTTTTACAATTACTTCAACGACATACAAAATGTTATTTTTGAGTTTTGATTGTATATAATACAAACAAACGCTTATTTTACGTATTCACTTTCGTTAAAAATAACATTGAGATGTGCTGCTATCTGACACGTATATTCACATAATATTTACATGATAATAGAAATGACGAATTTATTTACATAATAGAACTATAGGAAATAAAGACTTTTTACATTAGGTCAAGCAATTAAAGAGAAAGTAAAGAAGCAAGTATCGTCAATGATCTTTCGATGCTTGAATCTTCATCAGATGTCTTGAAGTCGTAATTATATAAGGAAGGAGTTAGGAAGTTTTAAAAACAGCAACACATCTATTATCTTAATATTATTTCATTTGAATTAATACTTGCACATACCTTTAGCGCAAGCTCCAGTTACAGTATCACATGGTACACCGGTCGGGCAATGCTCGCATCCTGGGATCGCAACAGGATCTTGACCTATACATTAAAAAAAATAATATAATAATAATAATAATAATTTCCAAATTTAAAATTCAATAAAATCTAAGAAAATATTTAAATAATTTTGAAAAGGGTTTGGCAGTTTTATAGAGATAGAATAGCTTACTCGATAATATACAGTTGCATCCATCACATACGTAACCGTTTTGACAGTGTACGTTCTTTTGGCATTGGCACACTATGTAAATAAAATTTAAATTATTTAAATTGTATCTTTTTGTACTACTATAAAAAAAAAAATGTTATAGTGGAAGTATAGAGGAAGACTATGTCATATATTCTTTATGAGGTACATAATATCATACAAAATATTTTTATAAATATATTTACACATACATTTGGTACCTACTACACATAAGTATAGTGCGCAAAGCTAAACATCGCGTAAATTGAATTTAATGAATGGAAACTTGGTGGTTTAGAGTACCTACATATTTCAATATGCCATTATGTTATGAAGAAAATCGAAAACACAAATATATAAGGCAATCCTGACCAACATTAAAAACATAAACCAAGTTATTTCGTTGTGCTTATTAAGCGTTACACCCACGACAATAATAATATAATGATTTTGAAATCTTAGAATATTCAGTTTGCTAACCAAATAATTTTGGTAGTTATTTTTTTCTTGATAAAAATAAATCTTATAATCAATAATTGTATAGTAATAAATTAAATTAGAGTGTAGGGAAGAGAAAAAAAAACGTGACAATAGTTATTTCGAAAATATTGTCTTACAAATTATCTGATTGATAGTTGACCTTTGAAATATGACCTATATAACAGCTGAGTGATATAATGATGATTTTTGTAGTCTGATTGTAACAAACAGAGTAGGTAATAAATAATAATATTAATAATCATAATAATAATAATAAAATATGTTAGAAATGTTTCGTACATTTAACTAACAAAATATACAGGTCAAGGAATAAGGAGTAAGAGGAGACGATATAATTATCTACAATTAGCATATAATAACAGCGATTGCAACACTTACGTTTCAAGCAAACTGGTTGATGGTCTTGTACTTGACAGTCTTGTTGTGAATTACATGGATTGTTATGTTGACACGGGTTTTGGCACTGATTCGCAATACATGCTTGTCCGGACGGACATTCATAGTGCGCAGAGCATCCGACCACTGAAATCGCCAAATGACATTGCGTGTTTATAAATAGAGTAAAGTACAGTATTATAAGGAACGCAGATATAGATCGAATTCGTTCGGATTTCATTCAATCGATTTTCCAGCCTTAATGACGATACTATATTGTTATCGTAATAAAAAAGCGTTTTTATTAGCGCGTCAGACATTAAAGTGTTGCGGACATGATTCTAAAAACGAGTCTTAGAGTCATGTTTGCAAGTAAATGATAATAGTCTGCGCAATATTAACCGTCACCGAAACAAGCCTATTATAATGTTAAGTATAACAATAACACCAATCACCATTTCGTCGAGCCGATACTCTTGAACTCAACAGTAACACGATAAAAACATTGTAAAACAATAATTGCTTAAGTAATACCATGACACAACAGAGTCAAACACATCATTTTTACCACATCAAACACTTAACCGACTGTAACACGTTCGAGGCGAAAACGTGATCGAAAGCGATTACTATTAAGCCGACGAAGACAATTTAATAACTTCGACGGTTTAAAGTGAAGCAACAGAGAACGCTAAGAAGAAATGTATACAGGTATCGTCTCCAGCGAACGTTCCCGGCGCACTGCGGCAGAGCGTAGAGGTACAGTTGGTGGGTGACATGCATATTCCTCCGGAGCGCTGAAATAAAACAAAAAAATTACAGCGGCCAATAAAATGTYGATCGCGCGCCTCGAACTGCAAACTGCCGCGGAACGACCGTGTACCTGTAGGTAAAAGGCGAAAGGGGGAGACGTCAATTAAAATAATATGAAAAATAAAAACGCTTCGGCTGAGGTGGGGACCGGTGGCCCGCCACGCGCGAAGATCTTCGCCGCCGCGCGCAAATGTAAATAGCCGGCGTGTGGATTTAAACGTGCGCCGGCCGTGCTCTGACATTACAATAATAAAGGTATATATGTACAATAATATATATTATGTAGTGGAACGACTTTACTTTCACGGCGGCTTAACCAACCGTAGCGCAGTCGTAAAACTGTGTGTGTGTGTGTGTGTGTGTGTTGTTCTCTTCTGAATATATTATTATATCTAAATATGTATATATAATATATTATGTTTGCGCGCATTTTACTTTGCATAAATTACTATTATTATTACTATTTACTATTTTCGCCGTATAGTTCAGCCCCAGTGAAAGTTATTATATTCCACAATTAGTGCGTCTGGCCCGTAAATAGGTAGGTACGTCTGGTTTTAAAATTTTTTTTTACGTTCGTGATGATGTTTATTCTTATATTTGTGGGAAGGACGAGCGTCGGGCGTGTAAGCGGTGAAATAATACTAACGTTTGTACGTATGTACCACGGTAGTCTTACACGACCTTACGCAATCGTCCACGGCGTTCTATTGTTCAATGTACAAACCTCTAAGCGAACTTTTTAATTTTTCGCGTTAAAATTTGTTTTCAATTTCATTTTTGCTCATAAATGGGCGTTAATAGTGTTTGTAGATCGCGCGTACTATTTATATTATAATATAATAAAATCATATACTATATACTCGTATGTGTACACATACCAATGTATATACATTACACGCATAATATAATTATTATAAAAATATATCATATTTATATTATACATATATATCTGTGTATAATAATATTATCTTTAGTAAATTATATTATAATGGATAGCCCGTGCCGGAGACTTCGACGCCACAGCACCTCATGCACGACATTTCAATCACGAGTGTCAAAGCGGAACATGCACGCGGTCGCAACGACGCTTTTAAGTCGTGTTTATAAATGCGCACAGGTGTGGAAACACGCGTGATTGCGGTTCAAAAAGCACGGAAACCACTCGTGAAAAAAAAATAATACAAATTAATTATAATCAAAAATACTAAAATATAAATGATTTTATTAAGTATAGAAGGCACACGTCACACCGTCGTCACGCATGCGCCGAATGAGGTTCGACCTACATTTATTTAAATATAATCGTATTGAAAATATATTAATACAATATAGTACGATATATATATTGTACGATATATGTATCGCCTAAATAGCAGACATTAAAAATGGATGCGGACGACGACGGACAGTGCTGCGCGTGGCAAAAGCGTGAAAGAGAAGTTCGAAGAGGGAGCGGAGATCGAGAGTATGTATATATTATAGCGGAGGCGCTTATATGCCCCCCTCAAAAAAGCTGAAATTTGCTCGTCACGATTGAACTAAAAGCTTCACTATATGTGAAAAATAACCACAAGCATTCGTTTTGTAATATGCAATTCGATCTCGGGCGGTGCAGCATGCGCAAATTGAAGATAGCATGCTAGCGGGTAATGGTATACCGTGGTAAAGTACGATATCACGTTGGCGGGGTTATAAGACATGCGGGGAGGGAGTGTTGTGCTATAATATCTCTAGAAAAATATTATCGATGATAATTGTGTTAAACATTAAATATATAATAATAAAGAGGTATATCTAAACTTCTTTTTTACTTTTCTCATCTGAAAGTTTCTGAAAACTGCGGTAATTCGTTTTTGAATAAACTGCCAAATACGGATTATGCGTAAAAGCATTTTTTTCCTGATTATTTTTAAATGATTTTGAAAATGTTTACTTTGAACCTTTTGAACAAAAATTAGATCCATTTTTTACCAAATATACATCACTAAAAGTATGAGATAAGAATATTTTAGTATCTTCAAAAACATTAAAACATACACACACAAAAGATTGCAAAACCAATGACTTTATTTTAGAATCAGGAAATATTGATCGTTATTAAACCACGCAGTTAATCAATATAGGTACACTAGATGAACATTATTAATGAAAATACTGAACATGATGTGTATAATACTATATTAAAATATACATGATTTATCAAGCACAAATCATTAAGCAACTAGCGAGCAAAAATTAATTCAAAATGTATACTTTAATCGAGAAAATATATGTTCAAAAATACTTACGATCAGTGTTACACACACCTCGTATTAAATCAGACCGATCAAAAAAAATTGTTAATAAAAACCAGTAAAAAGACGATCCCTGATCGCCAGTTTGTCGGGGAACGAATACGCACAACACAACCTCCTCCTCCCCCCCGCCTACTTTGCATGATGATGTATTTAAATATATTTAGGCAACAGCGTTTGAGTGTCGTTGCTGTGTTTTTTTGTACATTTACCTTTCAGACATCCCGACTTTGAATCGGCACTGTAACCGGCCGGACAAAACTTGCACACGGCCCGGTGCCCGTCCACGCCACACGGGGCGTCCGCGGGACACGTGACGTTCGAACACGGATCGACGCACGCGAAATTGACGCACGCCTCGTGCTCCGGACAACCGGCGTCCCGGAGACACATGGACGCGGTTGGCGCGCAGTTGTCGGCGCACACGCACACAGCCCGGTGGTCGAGTACCAAGCACCGCTTGTCAGCCGGACACGGTCCGCCCGCACCACCCACACCGCCGTCGCACGGGCTCTGACACCGGCCTTGTCCCGTGCATCGGAGGTGCGGTGCGCAGTCGGTGTCGACTCGGCACTCACGCTCGGCGGGCGCGCACGACAACTCGCCCAGCTCGTTGACGGCAAAACCGTGCTTGCAAGCGCACCGGGCCCGGTGGTTGCGGACCACGCAGGCCTTGGGTGGTTCGCACGATAGTCCGTCACACGGGTCACGACACGCACCGTCCGCGGGGCTACACGCCCGAGACGACGGGCAGTCCGCGTCCACGGCGCACCGTGACGCTGCGGTCGGACCGTCGCCAGCGCGCTGCACACAGCTGCCCGGGTCCGGCGCGCATCCCACCCTCGGGTCGCCCGCGTAACAGTCCGGGCACGCGCACTGGGCCCTATGCAACACCGGCCGGCATAGAGCGTTCAAGCCACAGGTGTCTCTCACGCTACACGCGTCGACGCAACGTCCGTCGATGCACGTCTTTTCATTTGTACACTGACCGTCGTCGGCGCATTCGACCACTGGCGATAGTAACGCGTCATAAAAAACAAATAACAGTTTTTTGTCAGAATTTATATACACACTACGTCCTAGCTAATATCATTATATTTTATACATAGGTATTAATACGTTGCATTTTCAGGGCCGTATTTAGCATTGTTTCCATATCGTCATCATGTCTAAGCCACAACCCCCCTTGGTGAATTATCAATAATTAATGTTCAAGATCAATCACAGTACTAGATTATGTGACGAAATGTAGTAGAAGATATTTTAACTACAAAACATTGCTATCTGTATAGCTGAAAGTTTGAATAGATTAATATATGATAATATTAAAATAAATTGTCATTGAAATTAAATATACTTTTTACTAATGAATTTTTTTTTTKCTGTAACGAAGAGGCTTAAAATATACTCAAGAACGTATGCATTATTTTTATTAAATATTGTTCGAGTCGATATAACATTATTCCCTCATCAAATTATAAAAATACAGTAATCCATCACCATAAAGTTCCCTCCCTCTAAATACGGCCCTGTGTTTTATGTACATAATATGTAAGTTCATGTGTGTATGTGTGTTTGTGAGCGTGTGTGTTTAATGTGTATTAAGCTGGCTTAATATTATTCCTCAATATCATAAAAAGTATAGTGTTATGGAGAACAGAATTCAATATGTATGTATAGTAAACATTAAAATCATTTTCTGCAATATAACCTACATTTCGTAACCGGGTTATATYAGGTTGAATGGTTCTGATTATACAATAAAATTACTGTTCATAATAAAACGTTTTCAAATCAAAGACTAATGAACCGTAATAGCCAATTAAACTAATGAGTCGCTCATTAAATATATATTTATGTTAAAGGTCAAATTTACGAAATTTATACAAAGGAATGAAAATAAAGTAGTAATATTTATTATCAAAAATAATATTTTAAAAAATTCAACTTTTTTTCTACTTTATCGAAAAACTAAATATATATTTTTAATTAGTGATAACATTAAGCCAACTTAACATATTATTTAAAATATACAAATAGGTACTTAAAAGTGTTGGAAAGAACTGTGAAAGAATTTATTCTCACAACATGCCATTGAAAATATAATATGCCCAAGCAATAAACCGTTTCAAGAAACAAATAGTGACTTTCAATTACAATGTAATATAGGTTTTAAGCAAATCACGCTTCGTGCACAATAAATTACAATTGTTAGGTTAAACGTGTGAGTATATAACACTTTCACAGTTCCCTCCAATCTGAACATTGATTGCTGTACATCAAGTCCAATTAATCATATTCAAATATGTAGCGAAGATGGTCGTGATCATAAGAAATTATAGCTTAAATACATAATAAAGGTATTCTCAATCGAAGTAGAATAATAATATCTTAATCAATTATTATATTACAATGGAAATTCCAGATTGGGGGAAACTGCTCATACTTCCACGGTTAACTCAATAGTGAACTATTTAGAATACAAGTCCAGACAATATAATACAATATTACAAACCAATTATACGTGAACAAGTGGCAATATAACAATATTGTAGTTGTACCACTTATTATTTATATAATACAATATGTACAAAAGCTGTAACTATTTAAAAGAAAAAACCATGCACAATTGTCTATGATAACAATATCTATATATTTGTTTTATACATTTCGTCGGATCTTCGAGTCGTATAATATTTCCTACAAAAATAATATTATGTACACCGTAGGTATAATATTATAAAAAACAACTGCAGCGGTTATGTGTCCGAAACTATAATAATCATATTATCATCATAAAAACAGTATATCATTATACTATTCGTGGGTATAATATAAATGTTGTGGTACCTAAATATATATTATAACATAATGTCGAGTAAATCGAGGATCGTCTAACCGATACCGTAATATTATGGTATAATAAACACGACTTACCTTGTAAGCACTCTTTTTGCGGAGAACCGGTCGTGCCGGGCGGACACTGGCAGACGTACACCGCCGATCCTGTACTGTCAATTGACTGACAGCTGGCGCCCTTACCACAGCCGTTTGTTCGACAATCAGATGGCAATTTTTTCATTTCACCTGGATAAAAATTGATTTTAATTTTTTGACGTTAGATTTTTTTTTTTTTTGTCAAAGAGCAGCGCAATCCTGCGAGTGATCTCACATTGCACGTATGGATTTCCCACGGGATATTCGGTCGGACAATAACATTTGGCGTCCTGATCGTTCACCGGTTGGCAGAGTGCGTGTTTTCCGCACACAATACTTTTGCACGGGTCTGACCGCTGTTGAGCTTGATCGCAGACACACCGCTTGCTCGGATCGCCCGTACATCCCGGAGGACACAAACACTCGTAACCACCGGCAATGTCTTTGCACCGGCTGTTCTGTCCACAAGGGTTCGAAGCGCATTTGTCCACCGTTCCTGTAAACGATTTCAAGTAAAAACAGTCGAGATTGCGAGCTAATTATATTGTATTCTCGTTGAACATAGGTTCAGTAGGAAGGCACCGACATAATGTATTTTATAAGTTATGACGTTTAATTTGATATCGAACAATTTCAAGCTAGATGGGTACATGCTGCGTCTTAGTTTTTTAAATACGAATCGTCATTAATATATTAAATATATATCTATATTCGATTTTAATTAAGTAAAAGTATTTAAACGATATTATGTTAAACAAATCAACTATGAAACAACTAATAATATGWTTCTCATGAATATTAATTGTTTAAAGATTAAATTTCACTTCATACACGATTAATGAACTAAACATTTAAATCTAATGATGAATTATAATCAATGGTAACAATATTTTGACTATAATATAATTATATTAGGTTGGTATGATGATGGCCCCTATAACTAGCCGCCATTTATAGTCTAAACTACTATTGTTAGATTTAATCAATAAAAGACATATGATAAACTATTACTTTTTAATTAGACTTTGATTTTATACGCATGAAATGTATTATTTATGTATTTGATAAATGGTGATGTGAACTATCGAGATTATTAAAAAAAAAAAAAATTATTTTGCCTAAATATCCTACAACATTATTATTATATTTACCTTGCTTGCATTCGAGTTGAGGATTTCCATAATACCCAAGTGGGCACGTACAATAAGCCATTCTATTTGTAACTCTACATTGTGCATTTGATCCACAAGCACCTTGCTCCAAACATGGATTTCTACACACTTTATCGGAACCACATTTCTTGTTCGTGTCACAATCGTCATCCTTATTACAAGTATATCTGACACATTCAATATTCGGTTCTCCTTGGAACCCGTCGGGACACATACAAACAGCTCTATGATCGTTGACATGACATTCTGAATTATTTCCACACTGTATTCCCGTAGCCACGGCGTCACAAGGATTTTTGCATTTACCATTTTGACAAGACCGGTCATCAGCACAATCTGCACTAGAACGACATCCGACTACGCATAATCCATCAGAACATATATGACCCTAAATATTATTAATAATTGACATGATTAAAATTTTTATCCAATTGAAATTTGTTTAGCCAATAATTACTGTTGGACAATTCGTGCTGGAACTACATTTCGTTGTACATGTATCTTTGTGACATATTTCTCCACACGAACAGTCTTTATTAGCTGTACAGCGTTTTATACAATATCCAGTTTCTAAATCACAGGGACATGTTCCATCGCATTTTAAAATTGACTTTGTGCATCCAATTAATGGGTTTCCATTAAATCCAGCCTTACAACTACACTGCACTCCATGATTGATTACTTTACATTCGGCACATGGACCACAAGTAGTGGCACCGTCACAAGGATCTAGAATTTAAAATTTTTCATTTATTTTAAATACCTAATGGTTATTAACAGTTGATTATAAAATATTTTTAAATAGCATTACCCTATATTATAACCATATTATTTCTTACCTCTACATTGTTTGTCGATACACGCTTCATTATCGGGACATGAAGTGTCACTGTGACAACCACCAACACAGAGACGGTTTTCGCATATCTGATTAGGGCTACATTTAGAGTCTGAATTACACACTGCCTTACAAATTCCGTTATGACACCGTTCATCAGATAAACACTCCAAGTCCCTATATACAATTTTGCATTATTAAACGTTAGGTCTATTGTTTATGGTGATTAGTGTGCATTGATTAATTACATAGATAGGTACTTACGTTTGGCACACTGTTTGACAAGTAGATGTATAGCAAGTTTGACCTGAACTACAATCACTGTTTCCTTTGCAGCTTATCATTGGATATCTACAAGCGAACAGAGGATCACCTTCGAGCAGTAAAGGGCAATTACATTGTTTTTGGTGGTTTGTAACTGAACATAATGCGTTTACACCACATGCAGTTGGGGATTCACACATATCTAAAATCAGATTGTATTTTTATTTTTATTTTTGTGAGTATGATACAAGATTATAATAATTTGATTTTACCTCTGCACTTGTTGTTAATACAAGATCTGTCATGTGGACAGTCAGTGTCACTTCTACAGCCAACGTTGCATACTAATCCATTACAAATTTCTCCACTTCGACAATCGTCGTCCTTGCGGCACATTGGCTTACATATAGACACTGACATATCGCATTTTTCATTTCCGTGACAACTGGCGTCAGAAGAACACACGGGTTGACAAGAATTATCATTACACGAGTAACCCGCCGGGCATTCTTGATTTTCGTTACATGGCTCAGCTGGGGTTCTAATACATGCTATTTTAGCTGTGGGATTGGGAACAAATCCAACTCGACAAGAACACGTGGCCCTTTGATTAGCAACCGTACAGATAGCATTTGGTCCACAGGGCATCGCTACACAAGGATTTGTGCACACATTATCTCTGCAGGACTCAACTGAAGCGCAATCTTCGTTCGACTTGCATCCAAATAAACACATATTGTTCAGACATATATGTCCTAAAAAGCAGTCATTATCTACTCTGCAGGTTACTAAACAATGCACAAAATATTTTATTAGTTTATTATAAATACAATAATTTATTTTAATTTCATATTGTTAACTTACATGCACAATGATTTTTAAAACATTTTTCATTTAACGCACAATGATTGTCGGCTTGACAATCAGGTTGACAAACAGATTGATGGCATGTACTATTTGGATAACAATTTTCATTTATTTCGCAAGCGACAGGAACTATAATAAAATTAAAATTAAACACAAAGAAGTATTTAACAATCTTACGATTTAAATTACATACTTCGAACACATTCAATTTCACTGCCACCCGTAAATCCAGCAGGACATGAACAGTGTTTAACGTGATTGATCACATTACAATTGGCATTTAATCCACACGAGCCTTGTCGTTCACATGGATTATTACACTGGCCTTGTAGACATTGCTCAGAAAGACCACATTCTGCATCCGATTGACATGATGCTATAAAATAAATGTACATTATAATATGTATTTTTCGATTTTCTGATTTTCCGATTTTATATTTAGATATAGTTAAATCAATTTTTAAACTTACATTTACAAGCTCCATTATAGCAGTATGTATTACTCGGACACTGTTGATTAGAAGTGCACGCTACAGCCCTAGGTCTACATCCAATATTTAAATCATTTGGATCTCCTTGATATCCTGGATGACATATACAGGATCCATAATGTGCTGATGTTCCACACTCAGCATTAGGACCACATTTAACTTTTTCACAATTATCTTGACACTTGGGAATACCATTAGTTTGAACACAGTGTGCTGCTGGTGGACAGTCTTCGTCGATTTGACATTCAACTGGAGAATGACAACCATCTTTGTAAGGATCTCCTACAGTTCCAAGTGGGCAAAGGCACTTAAAGGAACCCCTAGAGTTATCACACCTAGCTCCTGGTCCACAAGGGGCTGCTTCACACAAATCCAATACATCACAACCAAAATATGGATCTCCAGTGTATCCTGGTTGACAATAACAAACCTACAAAAATATTAAATTGATCAAATATCAAAATAAACTAATAATATTTTACAAAAATAAAATATATTATTTATATTATATTACATACTTGTTGATGATTTTCTGCGGAGCACAAGGCATTTGGTCCACACGGGTTGTTGGCAAGACATGATATTTTACATATGTGATCTTCACATATTTTATCATTTGTACAATCTTCATTTTCATAGCATTCAATTTTGTGACAACCAATATGTGGATTTCCGTGATAACCAGGCTCACAATTACATACTGGTTGATGGTCAACTGCTGAGCATTCAGCATGCCTTCCACAAATTACTTCTTCACATACGTCASTACACTGAGTCTACAAAAAAAATTATATTAAATCCATTTTATGGTATTCTACGCATAATATAAGGTTTATTTTTCATTATTAGGTACCTGTCCAATTGTATTTGTCTTACAAATTTGTACATTGTCACAATCATTATTTGTAAAGCATCGTAACTCTTGAACACAGATATTGTTTTGACAATATTGAAATTCTGGACAACTAGTATTACCATGACAGGTCGGTTGACATATATTTCCAATACAAAGCTCATTTCCAACACAATCTCTTGATAAGTTACATTCCACTTTATAAAATAAAATAAAATAATATAAAATAAAAATAAATTTATTCTAAAAAATGAATTTTATTTAGATTTTTACCTGTGCATATTCCATTATTACATTTGGTAGTAGTGGGACATTGGCTGTTAGTCGCACAGTATAATATTGACGTACATCCCAAATGAGGGTCACCTGTATATCCTGCTTTACAGTTACATATAGCGGCATCATTTTGTATACTACAATCAGTATTATCTCCACAGACTTTTGGTACGGAACACGGATTCACACATTTAGAATTTACGCAAGCTTTTCCAGATGTACAATCATTATTGTTTGAACATTCTATATTCAAGCATTCCACCTATAGATTAAGTATAAATTATGCTCATTAAATTTGAATTATTTTAATATATAAATAATTAAAGTCGTGCAAACCTTGGGATCACCCTGAGTTTTTAAAGGACATTGGCATTGAATTTCGTGACCTTGAACTGAACAAACTGCATTACGACCACATACTTTTTTATCTTCACATGGATTTTTGCATTGATTCTGGTGACAAATTGCACTTTCTGGACAGTCGTTATTAGTAGTACAACTGTTTGGATAATGACAACCTTCGGCATTTGGATTGCCTAACAATCCATCAGGACAAACACATGTAAATGATCCAGGCGTATTTTCACATCTTGCTGTTTTATGACATGGGCTTTGCTTGCATTCGTCAACATCTTGGCATTTATTATTTTTTAATTCATATCCATTATAACAAGTACATATACCTTTATGTTTGTTTGCCTTACAATTTCCATGGCCACAATTTAATAAATCACAAGGGCCTAATTAATAAATTATATATTATTATTTTAATGTAAATCATGTAAAAATAAATTTAAATCATTCACTTACTTGTACATTTATTGTTCTTAGTTTGACACATTTTGTCATTTGGACAGTCTTCATTTTCCAGACACTCGACTTTGAAACATCCAACAGTTTTATCAAAAGCATCTCCTAAATATCCTGATGGACAAGTACATGCTGGCATATGCTCAACCATTTGACATATTGCATTATTTCCACATGCATCGTTACAGAGTTCTGTGCATTTTCCTTTTACACAAGCTAAATTTGAAGCACAGTTTTCATGCTTTTTACACTCATTTGGTTTATTACAACCAGGTTCGGTGTAAGGATCTCCTACTTTACCACCCGAACATGAACATTGAAAAGAGCCTGGTGTATTTAAACATTTAGCACTTGGATGGCATGGATTTTGCGTACATTCATCGATATCTTTACAGCCAGTGGGTGAGCTTTCATAACCATTACCACATCTATAGAATAATTAGATTTAATTTAATGAAAAAAAACAAATGTTTCAAATAAAATGTTCATACCTGCACTTGTTGCCAATACAGATTTGACTAACATCACAATCTGAATCTAAAGAACAACCTTGTCTGCAGATACCTTCCACACATACTTCTCCAGTCAAACAATTACTTGCAGTAAAGCAAACTTTTTCACATTTGTTATTTGAGCACCTTTCTCCTTCAGCACAATCCATTCCGCTCAGGCATACAACCTTGCATATGTTTCCACTGCACTCTTGGCCTAATCCACATTGAAAATTATTATGACATATACTGTTTGATCGCACACAAGACTCTTCTGGAACAGGATTTGGTTGGAATCCTTTGTTACAGGTGCATATAACGTTATGATCAACAACACTGCATTTTGAATTTATTCCGCACACATTATCACGTTTACATGGATCTAAAATATTGCAGATTGTATATTATATTATGTAACTTATGAAATATAAATATTAAAATGAATAATCTAAATTAAAATATTAATCACTTTGACATTTTGCATTGATGCATGACTCATTGCTTAAACAATCTTTATTACTTCGACATCCCAGAGTACATACTCCATTTATACACGCTTGTAGTGACATACATTGAGAATGTCCAGCGCACGGAATTTCGCATTTATTTTGAACACATCTCTCACCAGAAGAGCAATCATCAATGTTTCGGCAAACCACTATTATTGAGTATATACAAACAAAACTATTTATAAGTATTTAACTAAAATAATAGAATATAATAATTAATAACTAACCTTTACACTCTCCGTTTGAACAAACGCCACCTTTGCATTCTAAGTCGTTAAAACATTTAGTAACTGATCTAACACATCCAATTTTTGGTTCACCATGAATAGGCTCAAAATTATCGGGACAAGAGCATATTGGTTTTCTTTCAATAATATTGCATATTGTATTTATCCCACAAGATTTTTCACATGGATTCATACATCTTCCTGATTGGCAGACACTTAGCAATGGACAATCGATATTTCCGTTTGGACATAACCCTTCTTGTCTGCATCCTTCTGTATAAGGATCTCCAATATGACCAGGTGGACATTTACATATGTATCCAGAATTAGAATTAGATTCACATATGGCAGTGAAATGACACGAAGATGCATCACATACTTCTGCGGCTTCACAAGATATTTCAGGGACAGGATTAGGGTTAAAACCCGGTGGGCATTGGCATACTGATTTATGTCCATCAGCAAGACACACTGAATTAGTTCCACAGGTGTCTTTGGCACATACATTCATGCATGAATGGGACTGTCTATTGCAAACTTGTGTTTGTGGACAATCGTCGTTATATACACATGAAACTTCTTTGCAGCCATTAGAGTCATATGGATCACCAGTAAATGTACCAGGAGGACATTGGCACTGAGCCACGTGATTATTTGCTACGCAAATAGAATTCAGGCCACATATGGTATGATCACACACAGGTTTGCATGATTTTAATTTATTTGCTGGATCTTCCAAGCAAGCTTCAGTCGGTAAACATTCGACGTCTTGTTGACAACTATTTTTCTTCATAGGGTGACAACCATTTCGATCATTTGTGTTTCCTACATAGCCTGGCATACATTGACAGCTACCTTCATGATTACTAGCTACACATATTGAATTAAATGGACACGTTAGTTCAATACATACTGATATACATTTTAATACACCCAACGCATCTGGTTTACATGATTCATTATCTTTACAATCGAAGTCAACTGAGCAATCGGGCAATGATGGCTGTTCACATTTAGATATAACTGGATTCCAAACAAACTCCGGACGACACGAACAAACTGGTGCTCCGTTGTTTTCCAGTAAACAAATCTCATCTGGCCCACATGCTACTCGAGTACATGCACTAACACAAGAGGATATTCCATCTAATATTAGGGAACATACTTTGCTTGTTGAATTACAATCTTTGTCTGTTCTACATTCTCCTTTTGGTGCCACTCTTTCAAGTTTACAACCTAGGTACAAGTCTCCAGGATTTCCAAAATATCCTTCGATACAAATGCACGACGAACGGTGGCCTTCTGTTACACAAACTGCATTTGGTCCACACTGTAATTTACTACAACCATCAACACATTTTCTTGCTTCTTTGTTTATTTGGAAACATATTTCAGTATCTTTGCAATCACCATCGTTTGTGCATTGGCCTTGAGCTTTACATCCGGTTTTAAAATTGTAAGGATCACCAATCAACCCTGGTGGACATACACATTTACCAAATACACATCCAGCTCTAACGCCACATTTGATATTATCACATTGGTTTTCACATTTTCCATGTTTACATGAAAATCTATAATTATAAAATAAATAATTAACTAAATATCAATCAACTTCTGCAAAGTAATAAATTTTATTTTTCAATTATTATATATATGATACATAATCAGTACATATAATACTACTATTGTACATTAAATACAATTGGGAAGGAGTTTTGCTTACCCTATTGGGCATGGGACATTTTTTGAACATTGACAAGTCAATGGGTCATGGCAGATTTGTGGTGTTTTTGCTGAACATTCTAAAAACGGATTTCCCACGTAACCTTCAATACATCTACAATCATAACTTCCAATCGTGTTGATACAAACCGCATTGTTACCACAAGCCGAAATTAAACATTCATCAATATCTAATAATTAATATTTTAGAATTATTAAATTAATTAAATATAGAATCTAAATAAGTTAATTCTTTTTAGAACTTACCAACACATTGGACGTAGGGATTTCCTTTAAATCCTGATGGACAGTTACATTCAATTGAGTTTAATTTTTCTTTACACACCGCACCAGTTCCACAGGTCATATTTGAGCAAGATTTTTTCGATTGAGAATCACATTCATTGTATGGATTTCCTATGAATCCAGAATTGCAAACACATTTGTTTTCATTCAACACATCATATTCACAATGTGCATTAGTACCACATCCAGGATAACACAAAGGCGTTGTGATAGCTAAAATGATGAAAAAAATAAATATTTATTCATGATAATTTTTTAAACATAAAATGTCCGTATTCAAATAATTATATTCAACCTTTATGAAAATGTTTGTTGAATTAAATCAATGTCATTCATTTATATTAAACCTAACAATTATTTATTATTTATTATTACATAGGTATTAATCTTTTTTAAAGAAAAATCAAGATTTTTTGAAAGATTTTTTTATTACAAACATAACTGTTAATTGTTATAAGAATTTATAAATATTTAACTAAGTTATATAACTTAATATATTATTGCTACTTACGAGGCATGCACAAATAATTTGGGTCCCCAATAAACAACGGATTACAAACACAATCGTTGGTTTCGTGATTACAACTAGCCCCAATACCACAGAAATGGTCTTGACATTTCTCTTTGCATCGTCCAGCAACGCAAATATTAGGTGGGATACAAAGGCTGGYGCTTGAACAAACATCAGGCTCACAAGATCCTCCAGCAAACGGATTTCCAATAGAACCTTCTAAACATTTGCATGTAGGTCCTTGTGTTGATACTATACATTGTGCACCGTGACCACAAATATATCCATCGCATGCTACAATTAAATAATGCAAATCGAATGTAGGTTTTTAAATTGATGATTTTATAATACTAAACATATTTCATTAGATACTTACGTGATACGCATTCACCAAATATAGACTCTACATAACCAGCACTACATCTACACCATGCAGCATGTTTTTCAGATTCACAATAAGCATTTTGACCACAAGGTAAAAGATTGCAAGGGTTTATACAAGTTCCTTTAACACATGCTAATTGAGCAACGCATTCATCGTCCGTAGAGCACTCAAACTCTGGTGCTTCTTTTCCTAAACCTAGAAACCAAAGATAAAAGAATATTATTGTGAACTAAAAATGTTTTCTTAGAAATTAAATGTAACTTCTCACATCCAATAGTGTAAGGATCACCATTTGTACCGAGTGGACAAATACATTTGTAATGGCCTTTTTCATTTATACATTGTGATCCTAGAGCACATGGATTATCTTTACATTCGTCAACATCCTCACAACCATGCAAAGGATCTCCTTTATATCCAGGTAAACACAAGCATTTTGGAGGGTCACTTGGCGTGCATTGTGCATTCACACCACATGGAAATCGATCACAAGGACCTAATAAGAATTATATTTTATAAAACATTTTTATAATAAAAATTTATAAATTTATACTTTTGCAGCGATTATTGTCGAGAACATCGGTATAGTACGGTACGGGACAAACGCAAACACCTGGTTGAATACAATTTTCGTTTAATAAGCAATCTGAGTCTTTTATACATTTCTTTTGACTACGAGAACATCCATGGTGTGGATCTCCACTATAACCTTGAGGGCATAAACATTCATGTGTGCCGGGTTTATTGATACATTCTGCACCGTAGCCACATGAATGTATTTTTTCTTCACATTMGTCGACATCTATAAATGTATTTTAAAATTAATACCTGATCTATTTAACCAATTATAATCAAATAAATTAATACCATAACATGATCCATCTTCTCTAGGTCTATATCCTTTTGGACATGCACAATAACTTACTCCCCCAGCAATAGACATGCACTCAGCACCAGCTGGACATTTTCCTTTATTACAGCCAGCCAATGTGCATTCGCCATTAACAATTTGATATGGTGGTCTACATTGACATTCTAATGAATTGCATTCTAAACCGATAATAATCAATAGTAATTAAATAAATTATATAAACATGTATTTTTATGACACGAAATCTTGATAATTACCTTCACAGCTAGAAAAGGGGTTCCCGTTGAAGCCTGGAGGACATTGGCATTCGTAACTGCCAGGAAGATTCTTACAAACGGCATTAACGCCACATGCGGGTTTGTCTCTAAGTTCTGTACATTCGTTAGCGTCTCTACATTTGCCAGTTTTTGGGTCCCTTATGTAACCTCTTTGACATATACACACATTCTCTCCAACAAATTCATCTTGAACACATATCTCAGATCCAGGGCATGGAGATTTTGCACTACATTGTGTAGGACTTTTCGCTTGAGAACATCCCTCTCTGAACGGGTCTCCGCTTATTCCACCGGGACATTGACAAGTAAACGATCCTGGTTCGTTGTTACACACTGCTCCTGGACCACAAGGATTACCCTTGCATTCATCAATATCTGTACATCCGGTGTTTGAATTGCCTGTGTATCCAGCCGAACATAAACACTGAGCTTCTTTGTTGAGTAACATGCACTCAGAATTTGGACCACATTGTACATCTTCACATGGATCTGAATATTAAAATATTAAATAATATATTATATTTGGATAATATTATATGGTAGGTTATAGTTATATTCTTACGTCTGCAATCGTCACCAACATTTGGCTCAGGACAGAAACAACGTTTTTGATTACTACAAACAGAGTTTCCTGGACATTGATTGTCAACAGTGCAGTTTATTGCTTTGGTACACTTAATAAAGGGATCTGGTTCTGGTATGTAACCTCCGGGACAAATGCAATCAAACGAACCAGGTAAATTAATGCATAAAGCGTCTTTTCCACAACTGTTGGTGTCAGAACATTCGTTTATATCTGCGAATCAATGTTAAAAATAGTAGTAAAATGATTAAACAAATTAGACTATGCTATATTATACATACCAGTACATTGTTTAAACGCATTTCCAGTAAATCCAGGTTTACATTGACATCCAAAACTTCCTGGTGTATTTGTACATAACGTATTTCCTCCACAACGTCCAAATGGTCCATTTACTTTATCACATTCATCGATATCTTAAATTAAATTTTTAACACAGTTAGTAGATAAATATTTTTATTTTTCTAAGCATATAATTTAGTATATAGGTACAAAGTTAGAAAAACTTTTCAATGAACCTTACCAACACATCCTAAGGATAAATCATTTGGATTGTATGTCCATCCCTCTTCACATATACAGTACGCTTCTTGGCCATTAGGTTTGCAAAAAGCGTGTGTTCCACATTTGACGTCTTCACAAGGAGCTTTAATATTTTAATAAATTAAAAATATATTAGCATAAAAATCAACGAACAAAATAAATTGAGATGTACCTTTGCACTGAATTCTCGGTGGAGCACCTACGTATCCTGTTTGACATTGACAATGGAATCCGCCGGGGGTGTTGGAACACATAGAATATGGGCCACATGGCTGAGCAAGACACTCGTCAATATCCACACACACTGATCCTTTGGCGTTAAATCCATTTTTACAAAAACATTGACCTTCGGTGCACTCAGCATTAGTGGTACAATCAAAGTTAGATTTACATAAAACTGTCACGTCAACCTACGATTAACGAAAATTGAAAGAATGAATAATGTATATTAAAAAAAATATTGAAAAATTATAATTTACTTGTTCGCAGGCCACTTTTGGGTCCGGTTTTCCAGTATATCCTTGTGGGCAAAGACAATTAAATCCGGGACTGGTATTCTCGCAGACCGCGTTAGGGCCACATGGCTTACTAAAGATTTCACATTCGTTGATATCTAAACAAAATAAACTTGGTAAGACTAAAATAAGTAAATCGATGTTATGAGTAGAATTTTATACCATAACATCCTTTTATCGGATCGCCTGTGTAGTCTTCTTTACACGAACAGATGAAACTCCCAACGGTATCGGTGCAAATAGTATTATTTCCGCAAGGAGCGTACTCGCATTCGTTGATGTCTATTGCAAACGTATTGACAATATTATTTAGGATGTTTGGAAAAATATAAAAAAATTTAAAAAAAATTGCAATATAGATACGTTAGCAAAAACAGTAAGTCAAGAAATTATCCAAAACAATAATAAAATTGATACATACCGAAGGATCTTGATACGTTCGTGCTTTACACAATAGTAATCAAAAAAGAATGGTTTTACCTCCAAAATATTGGTGCATGCTGCTAAATACTTGTATAAAAATAAGTATAAATAATAACGAATAATACAAACAACAATGAATTTCCGGCTAAAACGGAAAACGATGCAAATTATAGAATCTAGAAAAGAAAGGTTGTCGTATAAAAATGCATTTGAAAATATTTAACACTTCAAATAAAGTATATACAAAGTGATAGACAGAGAGACACAAGAGTATTGACCCACGCGCAATGTCTGTACAAGACGAAACTTGATATCGACAACAACAATAAATAATAAAACACAGTAYAAATATGAGATAAAAAAAAAAGCGACATGCAAATTTTCAGAGCGCGCGACAGCAACCTGACGAGCAGCGATATAAATAGTATATTAAGCGCCGATTGAGGGAAGATCGAAAAGCATCAGCGGACGGCGCACTAACTTTGGCAATGATCTATTGCGGACCCAGTGAACCCGGGCGGACACTGGCAGTTGTACGAGCCCGGGATGTTCGTGCATTTGGCGTTGATCCCACACGGGCTGGATGAAGCTCCGCACTCGTTGATGTCCACGCATCCATTTCCTGCTCTCATTTCTTCGGTGGACCCGGCATATCCGGTCGCACAGGAGCAAGTGTAGTTGCCGGCCACGTTCGCGCACACGGCGTTGGGACCACACGGAGAAGACTCGCATTCGTCCACGTCTGCGTTTCCGGCCAAGGCGAATACGGTGTCGATGTAATACACAATAATACAATTATACGTTAGRAGAAGCAGGTGTTAGAGACGGTCTATGTTATTATGTACACAGTTTCGCAATAATATTATTGAAATTAGGTAGTAGTAGGTGTCATTTTTTTTTTTGTTATGCACGCATTTGTCGACCAGACGTAGATAGGTAAAGAGTTTAAACGAAAAGAGAAGCGTTTTGAATTCCGCTCTAGTGCAGTTTTGACATCGGTATACAGGTATTTGCGACGCGAGAACGTTATATGAGTTAAGTTAAACAGCAAATATTTTTTGTTTTTTTTCGTGAGAGAGATTACGTTCGGTCGACAGACTGTATACTTCTGTCCAAAACTCGGTTTACTTGGTGTTTGCGAACTGTCCATTTTTCCGGACTTAGATTTATAATAATACATTTATCAACAAATACGCTGTGAGGTTTGAGATTGTTATTGTTGGGTTACACATTTTATGTTATAAACAATATAATTTGGTGACGAGCCGCATGTGATCGTCGCATACCTTTACAAGAATGGAACGGGTCACCGACGAATCCTGGTGGACAGGAACACCGAAAACTCCCTTCGTTATTGTGACACTGTGCGTCTTTGCCGCAAGGAGACCTCGAGCATTCATCCACATCGTGACATCCGGCGCTGTACGCATCACCAGTGTACCCTTCCGGACATTCACAGTGGTGTCCACCCGGAAAGTTTGTACACAGTGAACCGGGACCGCAAGCGTTCTGAAGACTACACTCGTTTACATCCAAACACTGTTTATAAAAAAACAAAAATTAATAGAAGATATTACCTGTATAGATTTCAATAAAATCGTCACACAGTTATTTTTCCAGAACAGCAAATCACTGTTCAAAAAAGTGGTGTTGAGTAAAATACCTAAGTGTCAGTTTATGAATGTCAAATAGTTCCTACTCAAAGTCATTTTAGCACTATAGTTAAAAATTGTTACCTAAAATATCGAGTTTATTTTAAAACTATATTGAATTATATTATTTTACATAAATAATACGTATAATAAATTTTATAAAAAATATTCTTTTTTTTCATAAGAAGCCAGCTGGCAGATATTAAGTAAAGATGTTAAGTATAAAGTTTGTTACATCGAGATAATTAGACATGATTTAATTAGTCACGAATTAATTGCATATAATCTTAAACAGTTGTTATTACAAACGTTTAATGTTATGGTATAGAGAAACATAAAAAAAATCAATTCCTCCGCATCCTTATATGGCATTCGTAGACCGTTCAGTTTGCACATGTAATATCTACTATTACGTCCTGCTACTAAACCGATGATGACAAGATAATAAAAAAAATGACATCACCTATACGTTATTGCAGCAGACATTAAATATAAGAACCGCCATTGAAGAAGTAATAATTATTATTACCGCACTACGTATAATATATGTGTGATCGATAATCGTGTAATAATTAGATTTATAGTTGTTGTAGTCTAGCTGTGCCTTATAATTTTTCACTGTTAACGTTAGACGGAGTATGCGTATAGATTAAAAAAAAAACTCGTTACCACTAGAGTAACGGAGTGAAATAAAAACAACAAATTTGGCACGAGTTYGTGTTAACAGATTTTTTTAACATATATTTTAACAATCAGATTGTTATACGTCACGAACACTTAATAATATTATGTTTAGTAACAAAACGGTTATTATAAAATACATAATAACTTATGACGTCCATTGAACCATGCGACAAATGAAGTTTTATAGGATTATAATAATATTGGAATATAATTACCCCGTCGTACGGGTTGCCCACAAATCCTGGTTGACAGTCGCACGTGTAGTTTCCCGGCGTATTTCTGCATATCGCGTTGTTGCCGCAAGCGTCCGGTCTCAAACACTCGTCAATGTCTGCAAAATGATAACGTTATTAATAGTAAGGGGAACATAAACGTACATAAAAGTTAAATATTATTATAATGTTAAATACAATATTATGATTAACGAATGGAAATAATGGAATATTGGGCTCGCGTGAAGACGATTTGCATACCRCGCGGCGTTTCTGAAGTAATAACACGAAACCATATATGAAAATAAGCGCGAATCCATTGGGAATAGCGAGCATTGAATTATTATGATATACTATGTGTTTAAATATTAAAATATGCTGTCAACTATAAATTCATATCATTGATTCAAATCGTACTTGTCGCCTGTCGGATTAGTTTTTATAGCCTTTCAGATTATTGTATAAGTATGCAAAATATTATGCACGGGAATTCGGTTTTATTTTTATGTCTTGCCGACATCAGTAACTAATATTTTATGTAAAATGAAAATTAAATGTTTTATTTCCAAATATTTCCATATTAAATTTTATAAATAATTTAATTAATGTGAGCGCTAAAAATATGCAATAGAACTAATAAAATAGACGCCTAAAATACGACTGACTAAAAATATAAATTGAAGCAATTTTTGGGATAAAAATAATCACATATAAACCATATTTACCTCCTAAATTATAAATTTATCATAATTGTTTATAATAAATAATATTATTCATATGCCGACCGGTTGACGACAACTATGCTTATAATTGGTTGTAAGTAATACCAGTAAAAATTGTAACATATATAAATAATTTTCAATAATTTAAATCCCTATAATTAATTTGTTTTTGTAATTCTTGTGTATTTTTAAAATACAAATATATCACATCATTTCGTATAAAATGTTACCAATTTAAATTGATGAATATCATACAAATATTGTCGTAAGATCTACGTGTTAATGCAGAGTATAAAGTAAAATGTAAACACATAAATTTAAAATAAATAAGAAATGTCACGGATTGGTGTTTATATAGAGGCATCGCCAGATTTTCGAGGGAAAGACGTTAATGAATCGGAACTATTGCGGAAAATTTTAGACACGCTAACAGCACCCACGAGGAATTAGGAACGTTCACCGACATTACGATTGTCCTGTTCTTTTCATATCGGTCGTTGAATTTCTTGTGATTGATGGGAAACGACGACAAGGTCGACGACTGTTTTGCAATTTTTCGGTTGTCAGGCCCGTTCTGAATGTTTTGACAATAGCAAAATATTGTTTCGAATGATTGGCCTATACCATCTGTGACGTATATTATAACTATGCACGTTACACGTGTACCTACTGTACCTATTTATCGAAAACGMACGTCGGTCGTACGTATAAGACTTACCTTTGCACTCGACTTCGCCGTCACCGGCGTATCCGGGCTTGCATTTGCATAAGAAATGAGACGGCAAGTTACAGCATTCGGCGTTTTGTACGCATCTACTAGCGATGGCTGGATCCTCGCATTCGTTGATATCTATACAAAATTCAAATCAAAAGTTGACGAAAAAATTAAAATAGGTATATGATCATGGTTTAACTGTTTATTATTGAGCTTGCAGGGGGTGCAAGTTTTGCCGACGATGAGTATATATTTTCCARTTTTGGATCTGAGTGGGTCATATTTTCTGTTAAGACTTTGAACGTCTACTCTTTGATAGGATTAATATTCTATGGTATTATTGTTGTTGTATAAAAATACTTCGTAAATATTGCAGAGCGCACAAGCGTTACGATAATATACGATGTCGGTGRATCCTCAAAATTATTACGGCAAGTATATGTATATTGTATATTGGTAGGTACATAATGARTAACAATGAGAAGATAAAAAAGCTACTGGAACACGGGTCCTAGGAAAAATCATAATAATAATAATAATAATCCGGTTTCGCCAGTCTTGAAATGTAACGGTATATCTGCAGTGTTATATTATTATGTACACACATTATTATAACAACGGACTGGGAGACGGCTACGGAGGTGGAATGGATAAACAGCTTGGGCAGCAAGGTCGATGCCATTTACACCGCGAGAACCTATCTGGGTCTGCGGATATTGCCTGATCACGGCTTCGTGTAAATTATTTGAAGTATATATATACCTATATAATATACATAAGTACCTACATATATAATTATACACGGCGCCGTTATTACGTGCGRGTATACTTGTACGCACGCGTATATAATATTATACAATTAAGGGGGCTCGTGTGTGCGCGTAAACGATTTTCGAGGAGCGTAATAATATTATTATTATCATCCATCACATACCTTGGCAGTGAAAACCATCGCCGACGTATCCTGGAAAACAAGAACACGTGAAGCTGCCCAGCGAGTTGGTGCAGTGGGCGAACACGTCGCACGGCCGGTACTTGCATTCGTTCTCGTCTGTAAACAATAACGAACATGGCACATTAATAATATTACGATCACTGCGGACACGCGTCTCGCCCGTGTCCGTCGATCGCCGTTTCTGCACGCGGGACGCATTTTCACCGCAGCGTTAAATCTGCAGTTGAGACGTTTAGAATATTATAATATATACCATATACGCATCGTTATGGTGTATAATATATTGTATATATAAATATACATATTATGCATACCTGGCACTTGACACGAACATCCACCGTATCCGTCGTTACAATGGCAAAGGGAGTCGAGACACGCGCCGTTCTGACAGGGCGTTCCTTCTTTAGCCTCGCAGTCGTCTGAAACAATGGCAAACGTTGCAGGTTATTTTAAAATGTAAATCAGTTGTTCGAAGGCCGTGGAAATACGGTCGTATTATCATTATAGCCATACAGGTGTATAAGGCGATACATATATTATATATACATACATATTGAGGTGTACGCGCGCATAAAAATAATCGAAGATCAACTGTAATAAAATATACGATACACATTCACGCTGCAGCAGGTCAGCTTTCGTGGTATATAGCTGAAGGTAGTTATTCCCAATGTATATTATTATTGTGTGTAGTTACGTGTGACGCTTTGCAGTGTGTAAGTATATAAAGCCATAAACACCGTTGTCACCCGCAGTCTTTGATTTAAGACGTGGACGTGTTATAATTTTTTTTTTTCGTTCGATTCTTCATACCGATTCGASAGATAACGACTTAAATGTGAAAAACGTACGATTTGCGGAGGGTATCAAATTTCATGGCATAAAATTTATGGTTTTATAATATTATGTATTGTGTTACTTGCAGATTGCAGTTTACAATGAGACAATTAAAGATCCCGTAATTCTGGTTTTTTGGCACAGTGTGTGYAGCAATACAACTGCAGTTTTCAGATACGTTTCATCTAATTAAAATTAATTTCATTCAATTTTCTTGGTGGTCTTGGAAGAAAGTAACAATAGTACCTATCTGCAACTGTCAGATAAAAATTTAAAAAATTATAATATCTAACATCGATAATTTTCATTAAGCAACCTTTTATTTTATAGTTGGTTATTATTATTACATTTGATTTTTTTTTTTTATAATCTACAGTTCTACRCCTTCAAAATTATAGGTATTTGTGTAACATGTAGATATTATTTAAAATTTCGCAAAAACCCGTTTGAACCAATTTATCACGTCTGTAAACCTATTGCACGAGTGTGTGTACTTATTAAAATACACAAAATGTACTGTTTGGAATTTCAAATTATACGTCCCGGGCAAATAACATACGAGCATATTGTTGTTTGTGAATAATAGCAATTTATTTATGGGCCTTCAGTATGATGGTATTTGCGGAAAATAATAACGATTCTCATGAGCCTTCGTGCGAGAAACACAAAACAACGGAAAACGTACACTCTGCTACGTTACATATTATTATGTATTAATTTTTTTTGCTTAATATTACAAAAAATATATATATATAATATATATATACTATATACTTGTTAGATGTATGTATTATATACGCTGCCAAATAGCCGGGTAAAAAACAAAGACGATTTACAGTTAGAGCAATAATAATAATACGAGCGCCGCAAAATAAACACACTCACACGCGGGTGAGCTGCAGAAAGAAACGGATGCTCTAAATGGACTCCCAATTATCACATAGTGCGACGCGTGGAAGAAAAGTGAATTGAAGCGACATAACAGCAACATTGGTTATTTTAAGGTCGTTCACCCAACGGTCACTATATATAATATTATTGTATATAATATATATAATATTGTTATACCTATATAAACCGTATAGGCATATAAATATAGGTACCTTCTGTAACATTCTTCGGAACACGCACGATTTATTATTTATTTTTATTTTCACGATGCGGATATTCTGTTGGATGTCGGAAAATATATTATATTATTATACTCTTTCCAGTTTCAGCGTCGGTGCACAATTAACGGCCCCGTCGGATTCGATCTTACCAGGACATTTGTGTGCGTTGTTTTATTCGTTTGGAAAAAAATTCGTGACCGATCACCACCTAATGGAAACGCACCGGGCATGCGGGTACGAAGTGCATAATATTATGCTTTGGCCGACCAATCTCGTGGGACGAATATAATAATCATCTTATCATGATGTCGTTTTCACCTATATTTGAATATTTAAATATTATGTTGTGTCCGCCGCGTWAWSWTWACGCGGCGGTAATGATTATTATTAAAATATCTTTATACACACTCGACTGACTTAAATGCGGGAGCGAAGTGAAGAAGATGTTATACGTCGTTGACCTCTCCCCGAAGACTGCAGTTCGTCATCGGTCGGCCAACGGGAATTCGGAGGAATAAAAAAAAAACCGCACGGACGGACTATGCAGGCGTTTACCCCGGCCGAGTTCCGTTGGCGTGATGCGCACTCGCATATCAATACTGTTGTTATATTATTATCATTACGTCGTTTCGCCGTTCGTAACTTCCGTTTCGTACACACATCTAGCACGTGTAAGTAATATAATATACAGAGGAATAATGTATAATAAAAATAATAATAATATTATTATTATATTGTCGTGGGTACGTGCGAGCAAAYGGATTTCGTCGGCGGGATGACAGGACTGCGAGCTAKTATACCTATACGTAGCCGCAATTATAGGGCTTTGGCCTCAACATTTTACGTTCGATAATTAATCATAGCACGCGACTCTTAACGGTTTGCAAGAGACAACAAATTATCCGTTTCCTAATCGAATATTATATTCGATGACGTCATGTATCTGCAGTTGTACGTGATATGATATGTATATTGTTATAAATACTTGGCGCAATGAAAACWGTTAGATTTGAAAACAGCATAATATTTACGACATCGCGGTTACGAACCACGGATGTGGTCTTGATAGGAAATCTGGTGTTTATTTATTGGCGATTGTATATAACCTGATGATCGTATAATTTGTAAAAATAATATAATATAAGATCGCCCTTTTTAGAACGATTTACTGCAGCTGATGACTTACTGCTAATGTTTTTCAATTTTGTCTCGCTTTATTTTTTATTATTATTGTTTATCACTGTTCCTGCTCTAAGCTGTCGTCACCACGAGTTGCGTGATATATATATAAGAGCATCCAACCCCAAAATATTGATTTCGTAWTTTTCATAAGAGTAACAGGACTGATAGGGTGAATATATATAATGTTTCCGTCGTGCCATGATCTATTAGGCACCTAAATAATATAATAATAATATTTTTGTCGAATTCYTTTAGTTATTTATTTACTATAGTTAAGTGAGAACAAAATCAATATCTACCACGCAGGTTTAAAAAATTTCGTCGTGGCTATAATATATTGACATCATCGAAAAATAATATCTTATAGATATAGGTAATATTATTATGTTATTACTTATTTGTACMGCTGAGATGATGAGCCRGAAAGAGAATAGTACAACAATATTTATTTTCAATATTCCATACTTTTTTCCTTATAATTTGTAACAGCCTACACCATCGTTTTTATTTTTGTTGTTATTATTATTATCTTCAAAATTAATATCGTTACGGGTCCATAATAACGTAACAAATTCGATTTACCCACTTAAATGATCTGTCAACACTCAACGTTGAACMGCGTTATGCAAATTACGTTTTGTATAAGCGATAAATATCATCATCTACGAGCTGTGACAATACAGAAATTGTATATATTATTATATTATGTACCGTACCTATACATAATTTTTTCTCGTATGTGTTCACGAACAAACGAAATGTTGTACACTGCGCGTATAACCGTGAATTATTTGAGTAAAATTATTATTACGATGCACATTGCTCTGCAGCGGCCATGTTCGTGTTACTGTATATCATATTCTAGTTTTAMTGAGATATAACAATAATAATAATAATAATATAATATGTATGTAACCCGTATTTAAAAACATGGAAGGTCCTCGTGGGATAATTAAATGGAAGTCGGAAAGAAATAYCGTAGGGTTGGATATTTTAACAATAAAAATTACCTGTAAAGAAACATTAGAGCGGCGAGCAGAAAAAATTACTTCGACATCTTTCATAATGTTTTGGGGGCGGTTATCCCTATCTTGTCATTATTGTCGGCGTTGTTTGTCTGTTAATGTAACTTACTATAATAACAACAATTGAAACAGATTACGTGTATTGTGGGTGGTACGTTACAGCCATAGGGCCTTTCGGACGATGACATCCCTCGAGACACATCTGAGAGCATCTGAAGATCAGGCCGATCGAAAAAAAAATTTTGAAAACGAACGAACGCTTTATACACAACAACACAACATTATATCATATTATTATAAGTACCACCTAGGTGAGAGTATCACATTAAATTATACTATGTATGGGTATGCTGTATATATTACATTGATTACCATCCGAGTATAAGTGGTAATATTATAATATAGGCGCGTTAGTTCGTTTGTGATGATTTTTTTTTTTTTCGAAGTCACGATGAACAGCGATATAACGTCGTATATGATGCAAAATTGAATGTTTAAGTTGCGTGTAAGTATAAAAATCTGCAGCATATACATAAAATTAACATATTATAGTACGCTGCAGTATGATGCGATGAAATTACCGTACCGGATGGTTATATCACTATAGTACCTTTAATGTATTTTTTTACCGTTTTTAGACAACTCGTTATTTTGTGTATAGGCAATAATACCTATGTTTATCATATAAACTAAAACTTTGTTATATCATGTGTCATTATTTTCCTGTACGGTGGGCGCGATATCCATCGTCTTTAAACGGAACGGTCTAAGTAGACTGCCATGGTCGCAAAAGATGGTCATGTATTTATTATTTTTTTATCTACTTTTTCCTCGATTTCAATGACAAATTGATTTTGACTCACATTTTCCTGAACGCTGTATCGTATTATGGATTTTGTAACTGAATAGCCGTCCAGTCGAAATTTTAACAAACAAACTTTTTCTCATGATATGTTTACTATACTTATACGCATATCGRCGTATCACAATGCAAAAATTATTTGTTACATAATATAGGTACCTACCGATATGGAAAATAAACTCTCCTCAGTTAACGAATACTAAAATGTGATTACTCAATACTTTAATGTTCGAAAAATGGTCCACCACTTAAACACCATGATATTCTATATTATGTAACTATTATTGAAGCACGACTTGTAATATTATTGTTTGTATGGCAAAATACTAAAATAAGTAGATAGACTGAAATACGAGTAAATAGTGAATATTATTTATTATTAGTTATTTGTTTATAATGTATACATTACATTTAAATTTCACCATGCGATTCGTTTCTATGCAAATCATTATCAATATTGTATATCAAATATCATGTAATATTATATTTCAAAACTGTTTACTAAATTAAARTATAAATTTGTGTTTTTGTAACCAAACTTTTTTTGCTGTTTCTTGATAAATTGAAGGTTATCAGAGAGTTCCAAATAAAATATACCTATAATATATTTTTTGGTCGAATAACTTTGTTGGAGCATTACTTGCCCAAAATTTTAATTCCGTTAATAATGATTAACACCGWTTTCCGTTCACATTAAATTCCTGCAGAAAATTACATTTAAAAAATGTAATATATAAGTGTTATGATTGGATCTGTTATCTGTTGCTCCATATCCAAAACACCTGCAGAGGTATAAATCGGCGAAAACACCGGAAACACGAGAAGTACACGTATAAGGAATAATGTACCACGTATTATCACGATGACGACAAAACATTTAGGTCTAGTTGCATTTCCTTTTTTAATTCGAAATCCCGAGTGGTAGACCACCAATGATGGTTTGGTATGGACGCGACGTACGATTAATCCTGTTTTATTTCACGGTGTTACGTCGACACGTCATATTTTATTTTTATTTTTTCTTCATTATTTTACACTCKCGTACGGACGGCGTTTGATTATTCAAACAGCGTGCTGCAGCCGGCTGATTATTAAAAGACCYATGGCACGTCTCCGACGACGGCCGCGGTGTGATGACGAATACGATGACGGCCGTTTCGGGTAGGTGTGCGTACATGCATATTATACACATCAACCCGCCATTATTACGTACGTATTGTGTGTCCGTCTCCTCGTTGATGTGCATGTATATACAATATGATATAATATGTTTATGGAAAGCAAGTACGTAAGTGTACAACACTTATTGTGCCGTACATGTTGACTCGGTCCGGTGCTTTTTTTTTCTCTCATACGAACGGCTGTGCCGTGGTGCAATACTACACGTTCGGTCACTGCAGTATAGGTATACACGTATTATTATTTCATATAATATTAATTATTAATAATATAGTAATCGGTACCGGGTATAGGTGGTATTATAATATTATATTGACGACTGCACACACGTACGATTGGACAAGTTTGAAGATTTAACCACTTCGAGTGTAATACAATAGAATGCGTTTATTACAAATTATTATGTATTAATATACAATAGGTACATCATGCCTTAAACCGGAAATCAGTACATTTATACGTTATTTATTCCACCAAAAAATCAAAAAAATGACTAGATGAAGTACACACATTCAATCCTCTTTCTACACTCAAATAAAATATAAAGTTTACACTTTTGGTGATTTTTGGCTCATTAGATACTCATTACGCACTTAAAAGTTTAAAATCACATGCGGTCGGTAATTAAAACCACATATTTATCAATGATACAATTTTTATCCGTGATTGTCGTATAGTTCATTTCACGAACATTTGGTTTGTAACGATGAATGGATATTGTTATTGTGACAAAGAAACAAATAAAATATGATCGAATTTATCGTAAATTACGTGGTTGATTCGTAAATCCTATACACATACATAATATTATAAAATATGAACACCTATTATGTTTTACTGTTTAGCAGTTATATTTTGTATAATGGCAAGTATAGTACCTGCAGTAGTGCATATTTGAGAGAGTTTATGTCGAAAGAAAGGCTATATTAACCGTAAATCGTGTGTATGTTATAATATTTTAGACTGCACGCGCTACAGGGCCCACAGTCGTCGCATGTCGAGGGTCGTGAAAGTTATTATTCTCGAGAGTACTAACTATTGATATCTCCAAGGTTTTTAATTTGTTATACGCGATTAATACAACAGTATAATAAYGACTGAATCGACTAAATTGACTTGTGGTTAAAAATGCAAACGTGTTAAAAGTAATAATATGTAAAATGTATCTCCGCAGGCACTATAGCTAGGTAACGCAAAATAATATCGAATACTGACTAAAATATCCGGTTGATTGATTTCGCCTACGTATARATTCGTTATTTTCGTCGAACGCTTTGTTATTATAAACTAATCGATTGTAAAACTAAAATTACTATAAAAACATCGAAATAAAAAAATTTTTGACTTACCAGTGCACTTGAGTTCTCGTCTCAGTTCATCTGACCCTTTGTAACAGTCTTGTTTGCCATCACATAGCCTAGAAAGCTCATACAACTGCAACACCGTCGTAGACTCGTTCACTTGGCATCCAAAGTATCCGTCTTCCAAATTCAAAAAGAATATTTCTCTTTTTATTCCAAATCCAATTCCKCCTTGAGCATTTACCTGTAAAAACATTTCAAAACATTAGTTAACTTGTACATTTTTTGAATATTTTAATCAGTTACAGAAGTTATTGAAATCGAAACATATTTATACGTTTTTAAAATTCAAATATGTCCTAGTAAAAGTCATAGTTTTAGTCGTACGGATTTTTCTATTTACGTCCTTAACGGCATATGCAAACATATGCATGACTATAAATCATTTTTTTAAATATCAACTATACGAGTTATTACGAAACTATTATTATGCTATATATAGTAGGGTTCATAGTGTACCATATACATRGATTCAATTCACATGAATATATGAAATGAGTAATTGAACGGAAGGAAATATCTTTATAAATAATATTTACCTTGCGGACTTTTGTTTGAATGAGTATATTATGCATACATCTATTCGGATAATTAACTGTATTAATATAACTGACTCAATAGTCACTATTGATGATCATTTTTTAATACTAGTTATAATTATCGCCTAAGACTATAATGTGCCCTATATTTCAATTCAATAAGATATCATGTGGTGCTGTTAACCCTGAGATTTGTAGTAGTTTGTATAATATCCTATTCAATGTAGTTTAAAATAATAATATAATATCTAAATGTAACATTCACGTATCAATAWAGCTTACAATAACCACTAAAAACTTTTAAAGTGACAGTAACAAATTATATTTTAAAAGTAAAATTAAAATATTATTTTTAAAAATACGTACATACGTATATTGGTTGTATATATTAAATTACAAGCTTGCTGATGTTTGATTATTTATTTTTATATTAAAAAGTATATTTTATAAGTTAATTTTATATATAACAAYTAATAATTATTGTATCTAGTGATAATTATATATTTTTTTAATTTTATTCATATTTATTGCTGGAAATATGATAATAATGTATACCTATGCTTAAAATGTTGTCATATTCACTTTTCAGTAAGCTATTATAATAGAAATACAAAATATACTATTTATTAATAATAATTAATGATAAACTAATTTTTTTTCCTATTTTCATGTAGGATATACAGTTGGTTTGTTTTGCTATTATGTCGAAAAATGTCAATTTTCAAAACACTAGATCAACAACGATGTACAGACTAAAACGTAACGCTCCATCAACAATTGCATGGTTTGTTGATTTCGTTTAGGTTCACGCAGTAGCCATTATCTGAGTTGATGTCGTTATATCGTCTTCCTTTTAACTATACAAGGTTATGACTTCCRAGAAGCCATCCGAGACTCCTATGCCCTTAACCTTAGGTTACCCGCCATGACTGTATTGCGTTTTCTGTTTCTTTTTATTCCCAAATTATATTCACGCAAATTATGCGCATTTAAATAAATGGCATTATCATGGTCTTATCCACGCGTGTTAATCTAAAATAATACATATCAATACATCTCCATATATTCACACATTGTATACATGAATAATCATATTCTTAAATTTGATTCGTATATTAYTATATTATTATCAAGTAATTTTAGGTCCCACCTAGCTACTACCTAATAGGTATCTACGTAACTTTAAGCTATCAAATTGTTTGTTTAACCGGTTATAGAATAAAGAAATACAAACAAACATCATATATAAACAGTGTCTACACTTTATACACATAACCCAATGCAACAAACCAAACTTCTAAAGTGATTTACCATAATAGGAACCTACATTACGTCACTATTATCTGAGAAAATGTCAATATTTTAATCTCTAAATGTAGTGGAAATAACAATCGATCACTATTCATCACATACTGTATGTAAGCGCTGTAGACCGTTAAAAAATGAAATAAATCGAAACAGAAGACGAATGTCTTTGGCCGCATCCGATGGAAAAAATTAGTTTCTATTGAATTAAATTACTGAATGGAACTGTAAGTGAATTCTTGTACCACAATTCGTATTGTAACCGTTATATATATTTTTTTTATTAGTCTCATCGGGCCACCACTGCAGTAGTAAAAAAGACATCAACCAGTAGGTACTTTTTATCAGATAATCGTGATGGTCATAGCGATGACCAAGCACTGTCCGATACGCACATACCTACATCTATAGCTAGCATGCAGGAAACACAGAAGAAAAAAAATTACCGAGGGCACTGGGCTCTAACCGTTAATGGGCAATGCACCAGCGACCAGGTGTACTGATCGATTATATTGTTTCCGATTTTGGAATTTCGTGTCACAATAGTTGTATATGTAAAAAGATTTTCCATGACTGTACCGTAACGTCAAGCCACGACGACGGTAGTTTTTCCGTGGGCATGTACATTAATATAATTATATTGGCAGGTACCTATACACCTTCTATTAGTATGTATAGATTTTGAAGAGCACTGCGCATTTAGGTACATCATGATTTATGGGATTCGGAGACTTTAACGACCGGCCGATATATAATTACCGGATTATAGAGATCATTACATTTCAAACGCCCTCATCTATTTTCGACTACAACAGCTATATTTTTATAATTTCACCAGTGTTCGTCGAGTCCACAACAGCTTTCGTACGGAATCTTTGCGGGATCGGTAGTTGGTACGATTATATTCTCATGCAACATTACGAAATTATCATGAGGTCGTCCGCTCCGGCATGGCGTGGGTTACCGGAGAAACCGCTATAGCTTACCCTTATATGGGAACTTGAGTCAGCCCAAGGACGTAATAATAACATTATTATTTCGAGTGTTTCGCATAATATGTACACACACATACATATACRTRAGTGCGCTCGCGCTGGTATTGCCCGAGCGAGTCGTTCGAAGAATACATTAGTATGCACCCACGAAGACGCCACCGCGCCGTCAGCTGCATGTTACATAATTTCAATATTTCTGGGTGAATGTCACATAGTGAAAACGTTACCGCCGACGATTTTATTTCTCCGCATCTGTAGTGCAGACGAAAGGCTGACACACACATACACACACGCAGATAGAAAAACAATATAATATTATACATAACAATGCACAGTGGAAATGCGATGCATTGTGATGGCTTGGTGAGCGTTATACCATAATATTATAATATATGCTCTAGATCTATATATATATATATATAGGACGTAGAATCTGAATATTATAACGATACGTACGATATTCAAGGCCAAAATCCAACGTATAAATCGCGGTTGTGTAACGCGCGCGCGGCTGTGTCGACGCGACGACAGAAAAGAGAAATTAAGACGACGCGCATATGTGACTATATCTGCAGCAAAGACAAATGCGGTATATACGTATAATCTTCCTTTTCTCTGTTGTTTCTCGTCAGACCACGTGGAAAGCTGCTGATATATAATTATTATCATGTTTGTCCCGTCGATTTTTGAAACAATAACGATTAACGCTGCTATTATGGATCGCGTTACGTGCGCGCGATTATGGCGTATGAAAAAAAAAATTCCCATACGYGAAAAACAACAGTGTGTCGGTCCCGCATGTGTGTTTGTGTGTAGAAATGTGACCCGTTTTGCCAAATACGGACGAGCGAAAGTGAACCCTCTTGTCCGTCCCGATTTGGATATTCCGGAAGATCGACGTTAATCACAGTTGAGTATATAGTTGTGATGTGTATTTCTTTCTTTTTCGCGCTTCGTGCGAGTTTTTTTCCACCTAATTCGTTACACGAATCCACTATACGATCGCTTCTATAATATGATTACATTAAATCACGGGAAGGACGAACGCGAGCACGCAAACACCGCCGTAAAAATCGATCACGCCCTTGATATTGCAGCAGTGCCCGTGTTTGTTGCGTCACATAACGTCCACAAGTGGAACTAATACATCACTATTGTGTCCAGGCGATCTTTAAATAGTTTTTTTTTTTTTATTATTATTGTCATTATTTCGTTTTATATTATTAGGTACTCTTGTACCATGCCTTAATGTATGTGCCTGGCGACGGATATCGTTCTACGATAATGCGTTGAGACCAACGTTATTGAATTTTCCCAGAGTCAAAATGCGCGCATGTATAGATATTATAGATATTTGCTCTGATTCGCGTGATAAAAATTAACCAATGGTCAATATGGGTGCTCCTCTCTCCACGGGTGTCCCGACAAATCGATTCCATCAATTATAATTGTTGTTTTGTGTGACCTTTTTTCTGTTAACATTTTTCGGTATATATATATATATATCGATCACTTGATTTGCGACATCTACTCGTATAGTATTGTAGATTCGTAGAATCGATAACATCAAATTTTGGTGAAAAACAACTATTACTTCTGCAGTATTATATATGAATTATTTTATGGTGTTTGATACAAAAACAAGTATACATCACACGTATTCCGTTCATTTTTGATAATATTGAGATAAAACATTTACTATCGAGTATCGAGGTTTAAAATAATAATATGTAGGTACCTACAATAGTATGAATCAGCAATATTCTTTCGCTTTTAAATTAACTTAAAAAAATAATAATAATAAGACTAAATGATAAATTATAATTGATCACAGAAATAAGATATTCTATGATGATATCATAGAAATGTTGTAGATGATGTTTTTAGTTTAGTATTTATATATTATATACCTACTTATATTTCATATACCTATATTTTTCTAAATCATAGAACAAAAAAAGTTTAATATTTCAAGAAATTATATACTATGTTTACGTCAATGCTATACTATAATTTAAATAGTACCTAATCTTTTATTATTTAGTAGAATCAAGTTTTAGTATTAATGGAGTGAATAAACATATTTTTTATAACTTGATATCGATGCTAATAAACATTTTTTTATCACTTTTTAATGTACTCATTTATATGCGTGTTGTGCTTATTTAAAGTATCTATTAAAGTAACTATAGCTATCAAAGTATTACACAAAAAAAATTTAGGATACCTACACTAGTTTAATATTATACTGTAAAATTATTTTTTGAAATACAAGATTTGATTTTAATAATATATACGCATGTTTGACCCATCACTGTGTGATCATAATTTGATATCAACTATAT